AACCAGAGCAGCGCACGGAAACACCGTTTACCTTCCCGCCGGAGCGGTACCTATTTATCTACTTGCACTTTGAGGTGCTTTTGAACTGCTAGGTTGGCAGGAGCAGGGACTGAGCAATGGGAGCTCACCCCGTCACAGGGATTCAAACAGTCGACCTTCTGATTAGCAAGTCCTAGGCTCTGTGGTTTAACCCACAGAGTGTTGGATTAGTCAGTGCTAAAAAGATGCGCTCTGGCGCCACCTGCTGTTGGGCTCCCTGGCTTCTGCCCTACGAGGGCACCAGCCATCACCTTAACAACTGATTAGGAGAAGCCTGCGGGCCTCACCTGCCTGCAACCATATGAGTCAGATCGTTCCTGTCTCACCTCCTTTCTCTACCCAGGTGCCTCGTCCGAGCACCCTGGGGCAATCGTTCCCCGCTTCCCTGCCTCGACTTCTGCAGAAGCCCCCTCCGTCTTCCTCCCACCTCCGTTAATTCCAAAAGAACCCTCCAAGCCTACCCATTTCCTGACACTGCTCTGGTCTTGCATGACCTGCTCCACTTCAAAGGCGAGGGTGACGTCACTCCGGGGTCTTCGTCAGCGCAAAACTCTCCAATTCCTTATTATGGCACATTAACGTTTCTGGCTCAGGGGCCCCCGGCCTTCACCCAGTGCCAAGGTTCAATGCTCAGCGTCACGCAGGCTGAGTCCCGGCTGGTAATTACCCGGCTAAAATCACCCGCGGGGTCCTCCATCACTTGGACGCCTTAGTGTTTCATTACGCGATGGTGAGGCCTTGCCAGACGAGGGGGTCCGGGGATGGTTTGCCAGCTCTGATCAGAAAAGGGACAAACTCCAGCACCTATCTTAACGTCAGTCTGGAGCAGGAGAAAACGCCATCATGGACGGGCCCAGACAGAGGGGGGCCATATGGGCCACTTGGCCCGGGCCTCCGATTCCAAAGGGGGCCTCAGTCAGCATATTCACAATCGCAGGGGATGCACTGGGGCAGAGGCGCAAAGGCGGAGGGTGGATTCCCTGGGGCCATGGCTGGCAGCGCGAGAGAAAAGCTTCCCCGGTGTCCAGGGCGGGGAATAAGAAGACGTAGAAGTTTTAATTATAATTTAATTATAATTAATAGTCAAATTTGTCTACTTAAAAATAGATTTTTAAAATACATTATTGAACTATTAAAAATTGTATGATACATTTCAAAATGAATAATGTATTTATTGTAAAATGTATTTAAAATTGTAATACATTATAAAAAAAAAATAGGTTATATAAATATTTTTACAGATCAGTTCTGTAGAGCATAGACATGAGTACCACAGGGAGGAAGTTCGAAAGTGGTGCATCAAAGAGAAAACGCGCTAAACAACAAGATGAAGCTGTAAAACAATCAAAATCTATTACTGCATTCGTGGTCAGAAGTCAACAACAAGTCAACCCTGCTAATCATCTTGCTGAATGAGGACCTTCCATTATATACTTACCTATTTATAACACTTCAGTTATCCCGAGGGTAAAAAAGGGGGGGCACATTATCTACGTGGCCCGGGTCTCTGCCTGGCTCTGTAAATCTCTGATCATGGCAAGATCAAAAACCCCAGTGGATTTTCGCGACGATTCCCTCCATCTCCAAAAACCTGGAGCACAAGAACTCGTCAACATCCAAGGAAGCTGATTGTTGGAAGATTCTGGACAGATAAAAGAACGTCATTCTTCATGCAGCGCATAGTTCAAACTGTGGAACTCGCTGTGGCAGGAGGGCGGTGATGGCCACCAATTTTTCTGGCTTTAAAAGAAGATCAGACAAAATCTTGGAGGAGGAGAAGCCTATTGGTGGCTAAAAGCCCTAAAGGATACTAGCTCCGCCTCCACTGCAGCTTCCAAATACCAGTTGCTGGAAACCACAGGAGACGAGCGCGATCTTGTGTTCAAATCCTGTTTCCGGGTTTCCCAAAAGTAGCATCCGGTTGGCCACTGTGAGAACAGGACGATGTTCCAGATGGGTCCTTGGCCTGATCCAGCAGCCTCTTCTTTTTTCCTTTCAGTAATAATATTTTCAGCATCTTAAAAAGCAGAGACATCACCTTGCCAACAAAGGTCCGTATAGTTAAAGCTATGGTTTTCCCAGTAGTGATGCATGGAAGTGAGAGCTGGACCATAAAGAAGGCTGATCACCGAAGAATTGATGCTTTTGAATTATGGTGCTGGAGGAGACTCTTGAGAGTCCCATGGACTGCAAGAAGATCAAACCTATCCATTCTGAAGGAAATCAGCCCTGAGTGCTCACTAGAAGGACAGATCGTGAAGCTGAGGCTCAAATACTTTGGCCACCTCATGAGAAGAGAAGACTTCCTGGAAAAGACTCTGATGTTGGGAAAGATTGAGGGCACAAGGAGAAGGGGACGACAGAGGACGAGATGGTTGGATAGTGTTCTCGAAGCTACCAGCATGAGTTTGACCAAACTGCGGGAGGCAGTGGAAGACAGGAGTGCCTGGCGTGCTCTGGTCCATGGGGTCACGAAGAGTCGGACACGACTAAATGACTAAACAACAACAACAACAATAATATTTTATTCTTTTCCCATATTGAAAGTTATATTTGTTACCCAACAGTTATATCCCAATTCAACACAGCTAGTGACTTCCTGCTCCCTGCTGATGCTTATAACCTAGATTACATACAATTGTGTTTTAAGGTTCTGTCTTATCTTATTTCATCCTCTTTGACATGTTTCTTAATATATTCTGCTGTTTTCTTACACTTCAAACCCTGTGGTGGACTTCGCAATCCAACAGGCTCTCCTTAGATTAAGATCTTAGCTGTGCCCCAACCCTTGTATTATTTCACTAAGTGCGAACTAGGTAGGTTTGCATCAAGAGAAAAAGCCGACTGAATTTCTCCCCATCCCATCATTTGCTGACTCCAGCTACAAAAGCTGAGACTGCTAAAGAAGGCAGAGAGCATCTAGACTGGAAGTCCTGGCAGACCTGCTGCCTGCCTTGCAGACCTTTCCCCCCTGGCCTGCAAGACTGGGATCTGGACTGACTCCAGCTACAAAAGCTGACGCTGTTGGACAGACTCTTTGGGTGTTTTGTTGACAGGGAGTTGTTGCTGTTGCTTCTTTGTATCTTTATTTTAGATCATGTTGTGATTTACGTGGAAATTTTTCAGTTTGGTTGTGTGTGTCTTTAACGTGTTTGCGTTTTAATTTTCAAGCACAGTAGAAAGTTGGTTAACACTTTATTTTACAGGCTATGTAAGCTGCTATAGAAGGCAGAACTTTACTGGTTTTGCAAAGAGTACTTAGTATATCTCAAATGCGGAACAGATCAGTCATGTTATTCCACTTGCTAACTATTCTGTGTTGTTTCAGGACCATCATCCGAGAAAGAAAGTTGTTCCTGTCTCTGCCCGCACCAACCTCAATGTTTATTTCTTTTTTAAGACTACTTTTGTTTTGTTGTGGTTATGGATTTTTTTTTCATATTGTAAGCCTCCTTGAGCATGGTTTGAACTGTGGAAAGCCAGCATACAAAAAAATTTAAGTATGCATGTAAAAAAGGGTAAAGGTAAAGGACCCCTGGACGGCTAAGTCCAGTCAAAGGTGGTTATGGCGTTGCGGCGCCCATCTCGCTCTCAGGCCAAGGGAGCCGGCGTTTGTCCACAGACAGCTTTCCCGGTCATGTGGCCAGCAGGATTAAACCACTTCTGGTGCAACGGAACACTGATGGAAACCAGAGTGCACGAAACCCCATTTACCTTCCTGCCACAGCGGTACCTATTTATCTACTTGAACTGGCATGCTTTTGAACTGCTAGGTTGGCAGGAGCTGGGACAGAGCAACAGGTGCTCACCCTGTCACGGGGATTCGAACCGCCGACCTTCCACTCGGCAAGCCCAAGAGGCTCAGTGGTTTCGACCACAGCGCCACCGGCATCCGTGCATATATGTGCACAGAACACAGGAACATAAGAGTAGCCTGGGGGGAACCAGTGAGCAGAATTGAGGACAACTGCTCTCTTCCCTCTCGCTGTTTCCAGCAAGTGAAATTCGGAAACAACTGTAGAGGCAAAGCATAGCCTTTGTGGCTAGTTCTACAGTTCGACTAGGCTCTGCATGAAGAAGAACAGGGATTTTCCAGGTTTCAGGATTTGCATGCAAAGCTGGCTCCTGGAAGGTTGGAAGGCAATGTTGGAGCTCTAAATCAGGGATCTGTTTCCCCTCCCAGTAAGCAGTTGTGAAAAATTAATCTAAGGCTTCTGATGCTAATTTGAGGCTCAATTAAGCAGCGCGCTGTCTGTTTCCTGCTAGGCCCACCGGTGTCCTGGAGTGCGCCAAATGATGATCGGGGCCGTGTGGAATAATGTCACCGTTCTTCTGCAGGAGTTGGGGGGGGGCAGACTTTGATACGGGATGGCAGAAAGCCCCAAGGACCTCGGCTTTCCTTTAAACATGCAAAGGCAAGCTGCTAGTCCTTCGGCTGCAAAGACATAGCTGGAAAATACAAATGGTAAAAAATAAGAAGAAGACATGTAAAATAGCCACATACGGTCACAGCTAATAATTTCAAGGTTGCCAGGGACAGGATCTTCCGGCCTTCAAATGCTGACCTGGATAGGAATGTCTTTAAATTCCTCCTGGGAGTCAGCAATGAGGGAGGGCAGGTGCACTTCTGCCAGGGAGCGCAATCTACAAAGAGGGAGCCACCACCAAGAAGGCCCCGTTCTGGGCCAGCGCCAAACAGGTCTCACTCAGTGACCTTCTCACCACTGATCATAAGGCTCAAGATGGTTGTTAATGGGGGAGAAGAGCATGGAGATATTTGGGGCCCGAGCCCCTTAAGGATTTATAATGCCAGCAATGGTACCTTGGAGGTTGAGGTTAGAGTGAGAGAAGACTGGCTTGTCTGAGGATGGCTGGAAGCAGGCATGGAGGATCTCTGGCCTTCTGGGTGTTGCTGAACGACAGCTCCCATCACCCCTGGGGCCTCTACCTGGAGCTCTACCTGGAGATCCTGTCAGAAATTGAACCCAGGACCTTCTGCATGCCAAGCAGATGCTCTACCGCTGAACGAAGGTCCATCCCTTAAGACGCAGTTTCCTCGTACCAAGTAAGAACGTTGTTCTCTCCAGCTCAGTATACCTACACTGATTGACAGCTTCTCTTGGCAGTTTCTGGCAAGGGCCTTCAACTGAGAATCCTGTTGACTTTCTTCCCTCCTTTCTTTAGAAGTTATAATAAATGGCTCTGAGCTTCCCTTATTGAAAGGTGTTTCAAATCTCCCTTCGGAACCCGGGAAGCCTGACACAGAGTCAGGCCCTTCCAGCTCAGCATTCTACACAAGGACCTGCTGCTCAGTGGAAGTATACCTGCTTGGCGTGCAGAAGGTCCCAAATTCAGTCCTCAATGGCATCTCCTCCAAGTGTCCCAATATTCCAGGGACAGTCCCGGAATTACAGAAGCCGTCACAGTTTCTGATTTGATCCCGGAATGTCCCGTTTTCCCTTCTCCCTTTCCTCCATGTCTTGGAGAACAATTAAAAGTTGTGTGTGCAGGTGAAAAAACGGAGTCCTGTTTATCCTGAAAATAAAATCTCCGCACCAAATGAAAGAAACTTTGAAGCTGGCATACGAAGCCCTTCCTATAATTCCGAAGGAAAAGTTCAGCAATCGACTTCGGATTCTTTCCTTGCAATGCTTTAGCAGCCAGCTATTTCTTAGGGAATGTAGGTGATGTTTGTTCCTTTATTATTGTACATGGAGCCTTGCACTGCCTACTCAGAAGTAAGCCTCACTGTATTCAATGGAGCTTACTCCCAAGTGACTGTGTAAAGTCTGGACTGCAATCCTAAGCATTTTTACTCAGATAGTTCAATAGGATTTACTTTCTGGTAGGTTCCTGATCCTTCTCAGAGTTCCATTATTATTATTATTATTATTATTATTATTGTTGTTGTTGTTGTTGTTGTTGTTACAGTGGTACCTCAGGTTACAAAAGCTTCAGGTTACATACACTTCAGGTTACAGACTCCGCTAACGCAGAAATAGTACCTCGGGTTAAGAACTTTGCTTCAGGATGACAACAGAAATCGTACTCTGGCGGCACGGCAGCAGCGGGAGGCCCCATAAGCTAAAGTGGTGCTTCAGGTTAAGAACAGTTTCAGGTTAAAAACGGACCTCCAGAACGAATTAAGTACTTAACCCGAGGTACCACTGTATATCCCACCTAGAGTCCCCTAACAGGGACTCCAAGCAGTTTATAGCTAAAAAATTATTTCACTTCATTTATCTGTGGAAGGTGTTGCACACAGTCCTTTCCCTTACAAATTTTTTTCTTTACAACAACCCTGTGAGGTAGGCTAGGTTGAGAGGATGTAATTGCTCAAAGTAAACCGAAGTAGCTGTGTATATGAGATTCATGTGTACAGCAAGATCAAGCACAGGAGAAGCTTCCTGATCCGACAAATCAGAGAAATGTTGGAGGGTAGGTGAATGTCCTTTGCCTGAAACCCTGGAGGGCTGCTGCTGCCGGTCTGTGTAGACAATACTGAGCTAAGATGGACCAGTGTATACGTCAGCATAAGTCAGCCTCCTGTTTTCCTTTGGGTCTATTTCTCCGCAGGCTTTCTATATATTACATGTTCTACCGGAGTATCCTAACAGCGGTAGTAATTTTGCTGCTGCCAGCCGGCAGAGAATTGAACAAAACTGACAGGTGGAGGTGTCCGGAGGCGAAAAAGCAGAGAAGATTTCCAGCTCAAGATCACCAGCATCTGCCAAACGCAAAACTCCTCTTTTTGTTACCGGCTGATACCTGCCGAGGGGGAGAGAGAAAGAGAGTGCATTAGCAAAGATGCTTTGCAAACTCCCCTCCTCCCTGACAAGGGATGAGATGCACTCAAGCCAATCGTTGGGCATCTTCCAGGAGCTCAGCGGTGGACCTGGGGAGGGGTCAAGGGAGATATAAAAGCCAGGCAGAGAACCAGCTGGCTCACCTTGCCACAGGGGAAAGGCTTAGGGGATCCAGCTAGGAGTGGAGGCAAGGGAGCCACGCAGATGATGAACCCCAAAGTTATGTACTCCCGCTGGGTCTTGCTGCTGCTGCTTTTTGCTCACCAACAAGGAAGAGCCAAGCCAGTGACCAATGTCCAGGTAAGTGGAGGGGGTGGTGGATGAGGTCAGAAGGATCTGGCTGCATTTCAAAGCAATCCAAACCAGAGTCACACTTCCCAAAGCAATTCGTGAACCGAAAAGCAGCCTTTGAAACTCGCACCGCTCTGAATTTTGCAGTGCAAGTTCTCCAGCTGGGTAATGGGCATCAATAAATGCTTGTGCTAGGGTAAAGCACGCACACAGAAATGCATAGATTTCTTTTGAGAGAGAGAGAGAGAATAGAGAAATGCACTACAAAAAGAGATATTGCCAAAAAATGTGCACATTAGGCAAAATTGAAAAGGTTTTATTTTATGGCAAATATTTCATTGCAGAGGAGATTATGGTTAGGGGCTGGTTTGGGAGCAGTGGTTAGAGTGTCGGACTTTGACCTGGGAGACCAGGGTTCGAATCCCCCCCACTCAGCCACGAAGTTCACTGGGTGTGACCTAGGGCCGGTTGCTGTATCTCAGCCTGCCCTACCTCACAGGGTTGCTGTGAGGATAAAATGGGGAGGAGGGGACCCACCATAGCTGTCAACGTTTCCCTTGTTTTAAGGGAAATTCCCTTATTCCGAATAGGATTCCTCGCAAGAAAAGGGAAAAGTTGACAGCTATGGGACGGACGGATGCCACCCCAGGCTCCTCAGAAGAATGGTGGGATAAAAATGCAGCAAATAAATACAGATGATTAGTGCTAAGTTTTCAAGTGTAATTCGTTTTTAGTTTCGGTTGTTGTTTTTTTCATTGCAAACTAATGTTGAGAGCCGAACTTTAGATGGGAGGAATGAGAAATTGAAAGTGACAGATCTGTCCCATCTTTAGGTAAGAGGAAGGAACAGCCCCCAGAAAAAAGCCAAGTGAGGTTTTCCAGTGGAATGAAGGGAAGAGGCTCTTTGGGGGTATAAAGACTCACCTGGACCGAAGTTGGAGGTGATGCAAAAAGCGAGGGGAGCCACCCCAATAGTTATAAGCAAGTCAAATTTTATAGGTGTCAGCTTGCAGGGAAGGGAGAAGCAGAGAGGGCGAGAGGACGGGGTCTTGGCTTTGCTGGTGCTTATTTTGTTTCTTTTGTTTGCTGGTGCTTATTTGGTTTCACCCCACGACGGGGTGAGCTCCCGTTGCTCAGTCCCAGCTCCTGTCAACCTAGCAGTTCGAAGGCACGTCAAAGTGCAAGTAGATAAATAGGTACCACTGTGGCGGGAAGGTAAACGGCGTTTCCGTGCGCTGCTCTGGTTCGCCAGAAGTGGCTTTGTCCTGCTGGCCACATGACCCGGAAGCTGTACGCTGGCTCCCTCGGCCAGTAAAGTGAGATGAGCGCCGCAACCCCAGAGTCGGTCACGACTGAACCTAATGGTCAGGGGTCCTTTACCTATTTTGTTTCTCTTCCTTCTCCCTGCACCCTCCTGTATTTTTCAGACCCTGTCTAAGTGGTTAGAGGAGGACCTCGAACAGCCAGCAGGGTCCGAGGAAACAGAGCAGGACCAAGATGAGACCCTCCTAACCGGAGCCTTGGAACAACAGGATGCTGTACTGCCATGGGCCAGGAGACCCCAGGAAGGGGTGCCCCTCTCAGAAAGCAATTTCCAGAGGCTCTTCAATGACCTCCTGGGCTCTTCCCGGAGGTATCGGGGAAGGAGCAAAAAGGGCCTTTTGAGAGGATGCTTCGGGGTCAAGCTGGACCGGATCGGGGCTCTGAGTGGGCTGGGGTGCTGAAAGGCAGCCCGGCAGGTAAGTGTCCACAACTGGAAGATTCTGGCCTGGTTGCGTCAAGACCGGATGGTTGCAATGCGCTCCACGTGGGGCTTCCTTTGCACGTGAACCGGAAGCCGCAGTCTGTGCAGAATTCTGCAGCACAATTGCATACAATAGCTGTGCTCAGGGATCTGCTACCGGGCCAAGTTCAAGGTGTTACTATTAGTATATAAAGCCCTTAACAGCTTCACCAGTTTACCTATGAGAACACCTCACCCCCCAAATATGCCCACACGATTGCTTTGATTGGTGGAACTGGCACTACCAAAGGTACCACAGAATCCCTGTCCTGCATTTGTAAAAAGTCCAGCTTTTAGTGTGGCAGCAGCACCTTTGGAACTCCCTGCCTATTGAATTCAGACAGGTGCCTTCATTGAACTCTTTTTGGTGTCTGCTGAAAACAGATAAGCCCAGCCAGATGTTTAAAAAGTCGGTGTGAGTTTTGATCTGTTTTTAATCTTCTTTTTTAGCTTTTCAAAAGTCATTGATCTTTCTTACTGATCTTTCTTACTGATCTTATTACCTTTTTTGTAAACCTCTTTGAGGTTTTTGTTTTACAATCAAGCGGTGTATATGTTTTATGAAATATACAGTGGTACCTCAGGTTACATACGCTTCAGGTTACATACACTTCAGGTTACAGACTCTGCTAACCCAGAAATATTACCTCGGGTTAAGAACTTTGCTTCAGGATGAGAACAGAAATTGTGCTCCGGCAGCGCGGCAACAGCAGGAGGAGGCCCCATTAGCTATAGTGGTGCTTCAGGTTAAGAACAGTTTCAGGTTAAGTACGGACCTCCGGAACGAATTACGTACTTAACCCAAGGTACCACTGTATAAATAAATTTCAGGCAGGAGTTTCATGGGGTTCATAGAGGCTAGGCAACCATCTCTCAGGGATGGTACACCATAAGAGCCGCAGACATTCTCCCTGACACAGGGTCTGCCAACCTTACTTGTAGCCTGGTTCCAATACCGAGAAATGGTTCCGGGCACCAGAATGCACCCAACTCTTTGGGCTACAACATAATGTCCCTCCCCTCAATCCTGGACTCAGGGAGGGGGATTCTGTGAGCACCAAGAAAGGCTTCTAACAGAACAGAGGATGTTATAAAAGATACTAGTCTTCATGGTCCTGTGTGATTTAAATGGAAACGTAGGAAGCTGCCTTCTACTGAGCTTTGGTCCATCTAGCTCAGCATTGCCAACCCTGACTGGCAGCGGCACTCCCGGGTTTCAGGCAAGGGATGTCTCCAGCTTTACCTGGAGATGCTGTTGAAAATTGAACCTAAGACCTTCTGCATGCAAAGCTCTGCCAGTGAGCTATAACGCTTCCCCGCAGGGACCTCGCGGGCAACCTCTGCCCTAATACACACCCAGCTCTTTAGGCAGAGTTTGCGATCTGCATTTATTACATTAAAAATAATATTCCTTGGGGGAGAGAATCGACCAAGCCAATTAAATCGGGGCGCCTTCTCTTCCACTCGCAGGGAAAGGTTTTCAGCCAATTAACCTTGCCAAGGAAGGCAGCTAAGCATGACAGACGCGCTGAGCTTCCTCTCTCATAGGGCTGTTCCAGAGAGAGGCCGTTTCAGAACATGATATATTTTCGTTTCCCTTTCTTCTCCTTCAGCAGGACCCTTCGCTGGCAGGACCCATCGCCTCCCAGAGAGACAACCAACACCCTCATTCATCGCCAAGGCATCCCCACCTTCAAGCAAAAACCTTCACACCTCCTGCCTCTGCCCACCTCCATAATACAATTCGATCTGTCCGGACTCATTCCCCCACGCACTCGAAGCTGCTTTCTTCCCCCGCATACAAGTCATGCTTAAACTGCTGCCTTCATGACCAGAAGTGGTTAACTTTCTTCTTTAAGAGTTAGCCAAATTCAGGGAAGATGGGGGCAGTGCCTGTTAACTACGATAGCAAAACAGAGAGTCCATGGACAGGAGCAGTGTACCCTGAGAACCAAACACTAGAGGGGAAACAACAGCTGAAGGGAGACTATATGAGAAGCATCCTTCTAGCAGGCCAATCTGGTCCAGCATCCTGTTCTCACAGTGGCCAATCAGATGCTTATGGGAGCAGGACATGGACGCAGTTTGGGATTCCCACTTGTAATTCTGACAGGGGAGGTAAAACATCTAACCATTAGCCATTGATACCCTTCTCCTGGGACGCAGGTGGCGCTGTGGGTTAAACCACAGAGCCTAGGGCTTGCCGATCGGAAGGTTGGCGGTTCGAATCCCTGCGACGGGGTGAGCTCCCGTTGCTCAGTCCCTGCTCCTGCCAACCTAGCAGTTCAAAAGCACAAAGTGCAAGTAGATAAATAGGTACCACTCCGGCGGGAAGGTAAACGGCGTTTCTGTGCGCTGCTCTGGTTTGCCAGAAGTGGCTTAGTCCTGCTGGCCACATGACCCGGAAGCTGTACGCTGGCTCCCTCGGCCAGTAAAGTGAGATGAGCGCCGCAACCCCAGAGTCATCCGTGACTGGACCTAACAGTCAGGGGCACAGCTGTGAACGTTTCCCTTTTTTTAAGGGAAATTCCCTTATTCCGAATAGGAGTTCTTGCAAGAAAAGGGAAAAGTTGACAGCTATGGTCGGGGGTCCCTTTACCTTTCCCCTTCTCTTCCATGAATTTCATAGAATCTTAGAGTTGGAGGGGGACCTAAAGGACATCTAGTCCAACCCCCTGCAATGCAAGAATCACAGCCCAAGAATCCCTGACAGATGGCCATTCAGGCTCTGCTTAAAAGCCTCCAAAGAAGGAGAGTCCGTCACCTCCTGAGGGTGTCCGCTCCACTGTCAAAACAGCTCTTACTGCCAGAAAGTTATTCCTAATGTTTGGTCAGAATCTCCTTTCTTGTAACTCGAAGACATGGGTTCGAGTCCTACCCTCCAGAGCAGCAGAAAACAAGCTTGCTCCATCTTCCAATTTGCCTAATCCTCTTTGAAAGCCACCTAAGTGGGATGACCATCATCTTTCCTTGAGTGTGGCCTTCCCTAAAAAAAGGAGTTTAGCGGTCCCACAGGAGGCCTGACTAGTTGGTACTTTGGGCCGGCCCAGCATAGGCAGTTCTTCTCAGTGGCGGGCAGGTGTGAGTGAGTCAACCCGGAAAAAACTCACAGAACATCTGAGGCTCAGCTTTCTCCCATTAAACATTAGTTCACCCATCCAGAGCCTTCTGGCGCTGATGGAACCAGAGAAATCAGATCGCGGTCTTCACACCCACACCTCCAGTCAGTGCTCTCTCATTCGTGGCAAAGGTGTGTATCTACAATAAATCCTATCTAACCTTTGTTCCGTGTCTTGTTCATGTGCAAAATTCTGCATGCGGACAGTTGTCGAAATAAACTGGTTTTCATAATTGGTCCGATTCATTTCCAATATGCTGTGTGTGTGTGTGTGTGTGTGTGTGTGTAAAAAAGAACGCAATTTATTTCTTCCAACTCTCGTTTAGAATATGGCTCTCAGACTTGGAAAAGACCCTGAAAATAGACTGCAGAGTGTCCCTGTTTGGAGGGAAATTAGGGGGAGGGTTGGATCCTGTGCTAGTCAGTGGCGTAGCGTGGGGGGTGCAGGGGGGCCGGCCGCACCGGGCGCAACATCGGGGGGGGGCGCTCGCACTCGCTGCTCTCTGCCCCTACTAAAATCCACGGGTTAGGGGGTGCAAATTACTTGCCTTGCCCCGGGTGCTGACAACCCACGCTACGCCACTGGTGCTAGTCCTCCTCGTCTTGAGAAAGCCAGGGTGTTGGAGTGGTTAAGATTGTCCGACCAGGGCCTGCAAGACCAGAGTTCAAATCCCCACTCAGGCATGAAGCTTACAGGGACACCTTGGGCCAGACATTGCCTTTCAGCTTAACCTACCTCCCAGGGTTGTTTTGAGGATTGAATGGGGGCGGGGGACCACGTATACCAGTCTGAGCTCTTTGGAGAAAAAGGTGGGATATCAACCAATCATACAAACAAACTTGGCTGGATACAACCCAGAAGGAGAGCCCTAAATCTGGATCAGGCCAGCATCCTCTTCTCACCGGATACTTCAATGGGAAGCCCCACAAGCAGGTAAACTGGTGAATCCAATCGCTGGGCAATTAAACTTGACCTTAACCACCCAGGGTCCAGCGTTATGAGAAGGCAGGAGAATGTCAATGTTTGCAAGGGGGCCTTTGGTTTTGCAAAAGGAAATATGACAGGGGCAGATCTCCTGCGTAGGTGTGGATGTTGTCTCCTGGTGCCCAAATCAACCGCGCAGGGGTGTTTGCACAGCGAAGGAACTGTCGTGTAGATGCCCTCAGCTCAGCTAAAATGAAAACTGCCGGTATGGGCTTTCAACAACACAGAGACGCACAAGAGGATTTTGACACTCGCATTAATGCAGAATGCTTAATGATTTGGGCAGGCAGGGGAAAAGAGCAGAGTGTTCCTGCTGCCAAAGAAATGACGAGGAAGGGGAATATGGCCAGGGGCGAGTCCTGGAGCATTGGGTCTCTGTGTCAGCACAAGCGTAAAATGAAATATTTTTTCACGGGCAGCCAGGATTTGTCTCCAAGCTCATAAGAACCCCAAAGTTCTCTCAAGCCGGCCTTGGACTCTTTGCAACAGAAAGGGCAGGATGCAAATCAGGAGAAAGAATGAACAGACAGAGAAAATTATGCCCATTTTACAGGTGGCAAGTAGAGGTTGAGGTCTAGCAGTTTGCTAGGGGTTCTAGAATCCTCAGCGAGAGAAAGGGAAAGATACAAAAGAAGGGGTAGAAAGAATGAACAGACAGATACAATTATGTTAGGGCGGCCATATGTCTGGATTTCCCCAGACGTTACTGGGATTTCAAAGGCAGAAATGACAGGGGGGGTTGATTTCTGAAATGTGCCGCTTTGTCCTGGATCTTAGGCAAGTCAACAGAAAAATCGCAGGGTTTGGGGGTTTTTTGGCGTTTTTGTAAAGCTCAACAACTTTTGGGGTGTCCTGCTTTTTACTTTTTGAAATATGGCAACCCTAAATTATGCCCATTTTAGAGGTGGCAAGTAGAGGCTGAGGACTAGCAACATGCCATAAGGTTTTTAGAAATGGTTGTTTATATTCTTCTAAGGGGGTGGGGAACTTGTGGTCCTTCGGATCTCGCTGCACTCCAAGTCCCATCATCCCTGACCATCGGCTGGGAGAGGATCCCAACATCTTGTGGAGGAGAGCTGCAGGTTCCTTGACCTTGCCCACATCATAGATACTAGATCATAGAATTGTAGAGTTGGAAAATGATATACCGGTCATATTCTAAAATGTAAAACAGTAAAATTTAATAAAAATTATAGAGGGGAATTCTAAGGGGGGGCACAGCTTACATCACAAAGCCATCCTTTCGTGCACACGCGAGGTAATGTATTTTCTCTCGCATAAAAGGCCACAGCTAATTAAATGTGCCTGCCCATTCCCGTCCCGGGCAAACATGTTTGTTCCAATTAGCATATAAATGGTAACAGCCGCCCTTTGAAGTGAGCCCGGGGTGGGAGATGAAGGGTCTTCCATCACCAAGAGGGGTGGGGGGCTGTTTCCCCCCCCAGATAGGAGCAGGTGGAGGAAAGCAGAGGTGCGCGGGTCTATGAGCTGAGCTGTAAAGCCTCTTTTCCCAACCGGCACCAAGCAGATTCGCAAAAGGCGTTTTCACAGCATGGCCAGGCTTTTGCAAAATATGCAAAATTAAAAGCGCACAGAGATAACGTTGCAGGAGAGGGTTCTGATTCCAGCAGATACCCAAGCCTTAATCAAAGCATTCTAAAATAGCGAAACCACTCTATTTATGTATTTATCTCATGTCGACGACTTGAGGTGATGTGCATCGGGTCCATCTAGTTCAGCACTACCAACACTGGTTGGCAGCCAGGGCCAGATTTAGGTTTGGTGAGGCCCTAAGCTACTGAAGGCAATGGGGCCTTTGATACGTCCAGCTGTCCTTTGTCAACAACAAATTGTCGCTGTTTTTTTGTGTTGAATATATGCTATATGGTAATTTATGCACCTTGTTGTCTTTGTCCATGGAGTTTTCTTGGCAGGGATACTGGAATGGCTTGCCAGTTCCTGCTCCAGGTGGATCACGTTTGGTCAAACTCTCCACTATGACCTGTTCATCTTGGGTGGCCCTGCACGGCATAGTTCATAGCTTCTCTGAGTTATTCAAGCCCTTTCGCCATGGCAAGGCAGTGATCCAGGGGACCCAGCATCTTAAAAGGCAGAGACATCACCTTGCCAACAAAGGTCCGTATATTAAAAGCTATGGTTTTCCCAGTAGTGATGTATGGAAGTAAGAGCTGGACCATAAAGAAGGCTGATCGCCGAAGAATTGATGCTTTTGAATTATGGTGCTGGAGGAGACTCTTGAGAGTCCCATGGACTGCAAGAAGATCAAACCGATCCATTCTGAAGGAAATCAGCCCTGAGTGCTCACTGGAAGGACAGATCCTGAAGCTGAGGCTCCAATACTTTGGCCACCTCATGAGAAGAGAAGCCTCCCTGGAAAAGACCCTGATGTTGGGAAAGATGGAGGGCGCAAGGAGAAGGGGACGACAGAGGACGAGATGGTTGGACAGTGTTCTCAAAGCTACCAGCATGAGTTTGACCAAACTGCGGGAGGCAGTGGAAGACAGGAGTGCCTGGCCTGCTCTGGTCAGTACAGCCAGCTATTAACCCCAGTTTCCCTATCATCGCGGAATTGCCTAATTTGGGGACTCACCTGTAGCGTAAGTCGTAGCCCTGCATTTGCCTCTAATAAAGAAGAAAAGACATTTCTGCAGGTTCGCGGCCGTGAACAGTTTGGCGGCTCAAGAAAGCGTCTATAATTGCTCTGTTAAAAGCAGGGTGGGGGCAGAATGTGTCATTTCCGAAAGACTCAGCACCGCTGGCTGGAACCAGTTCCCTTATCAGAGCCAAGTGGCTCAGCTTGCTGGGGTCCAGGCCGGCTGGAAGCAGCAAGGAGCCATCCTCCGAAGGGGCTTATAAAGAAAGGCTCCCTAGGTCTGCAAAGAAGTGTTTCGCATCCCCAGCCAAAGCTACCAGACCTCAGAGGCCCAAAGAGAAGCAGGGATGATGGATGCTGTGACCTGGTGTCGCTGGTCCTCTGTGCTCTTGGTGTTCGCCCAAGCAGGCCTGGGTTCGAGTCATCCTGTGGCCTGGAGTCCTTCCAGCGAAGAACTGCGGTCCTTTCAGGTGAGGAAGGAGGAGGCAGGTCAGGGGTGGTGTGTGTGTGTGTGTTGGGAAGTCAGTTCGATTGTTGTTGTTTTTTAAAAATTAATTTTTATTTTTTTGTTTTTTTTACCAACAACCAAAACACAGTGAAAACAAACAGTGAAAACCCCCAGGCGGCTGATACATTGGGTATACATAATCAATAATAACATATTCAAATCAATCATATGTACAATTCTATATACCCTAACACTCCTCCCTCCACAAGGTTTGTTTAACTTTTAACATTTTAATTGCCCCAAATTGTTCAAACCTACTTAAATAATTCAATATCTTCTCAAACCAATCCTCCTCCTTCTCACTGACCTTAAACCCTTTCATTTTATGTATCTTCACAGTTAGATATTCTAAGATTATAATATTTTTCAATTTTTCCCTCCATTGGTTCACCCCTAGCTCTTTTGCATTTTTCCATTTACTCGCTATAACCTGTCTGGCTGCAATTACCATCAATTTTACCCATTTACATTCCTCTATTGTTTCTAACTTGGTGCAGTTTGGTTGTTGTTGTTTAGTTGTTTAGTCGTGTCCGACTCTTTGTGACCCCATGGACCAGAGCACGCCAGGCACTCTCGTCTTCCACTGCCTCCCACAGTTTGGTCAAACTCATGTTGGTTCAGTTTGATTAGAAGGTACCTAATTCACGCATAAATTTATCCAACTGATCCAACTTAGAACTCACCCAAAGGCAAATTGAAATGCAACTATCCTTCAAAATTTAACCATTATTTGGTTATATTTGTAGATCTCAGAGCAGCGTTCAAATGCAAGGTTAAAAATGCAGAAAGCATAATGAAAACAAGACAAACCATTAACCCTCCAGCCCCTCCCACAAGTTTTTTTTGTACTTTTCCGAATTTTGCAACAAGCTTCTCAAACGAGGTCCAAAATGCTCATCTTGGTGAAAATAATGTAAGAGCAGAGTTCAAATCCCCACTGCTCCATGAAGCTTGCTGGGTGACCTTGGGCCAGTCATCATCTTTTAGTCTGACCTACTTCACAGGGTTGTTGTGAGGGTAAAATGGGGGTAGGGAGGAGAACCACGTACACCACCTTGAGATCATTGGAGAATAATGGTGGCTTGTAAATGTAATAAATAAATAAATAAATGAAAGGTTTTACATGGGGGAGGAGTGCTAGCAAAGAATGATGATTAATGGATTCTATCTAACTCAGTCCCTCTAGCTGCGATTCCTGCATTGTAAGGGGCTGAGCTAAATGACCCTTATGGTCCCTTAGTAAAGTTAAAGGGTAAAGGGACCCCTGACCATTAGGTCCAGTCGTGGCCAACTCTGGGGTTGTGGCTCTCATCTCGCTTTATTGGCCGAGGGAGCCGGCGTATAGCTTCCGGGTCATGTGGCCAGCAGGACTAAGCCGCTTCTGGCGAACCAGAGCAGCACACGGAAACACCGTTTACCTTCCCGCCGGAGCGGTACCTATTTATCTACTTGCAATGGCGTGCTTTCGAACTGCTAGGTTGGCAGGAGCAGGGACTGAGCTATGGGAGCTCACCCTGTCGCGGGGATTCGAACCGCCAACCTTCTGATTGGAAAGTCATAGGTTCTGTGGTTTAACCCACAGCGCCACCCGCATCCCTATGGTCCCTTGCAACAGCACAATTCTAAGATTCCTACTCAGAGGAAACCCACTGGAATTAATGGACCTATGTCAGTCTTCTCCATTGCCTTCAATGGGTCTGTTCTGAGTAGGACTAGCATTGGATGCAACCAAAGAGAATGATAATTTGAACTTGTTAGCTGCTTGTGAGCAGAAAAAGGTCTTCGCAGCTCGACCAACGTGCATTGCAGGAATCAAAAGCATTACATATAGTGGGGGTGGCAAATTTTGGAGAGAAGAGAGAAGGGAACTGGCATCCCCAATTTTTATTTTTTAATTTAACAGTGGTACCTTGGTTTTCAAACTTAATCCATTCCAGAAGTCCCTTCCAAAACCAAAGCATTCTGAAACCAAGGCACGCTTTCCCATAGAAAGTAATGCAAAATGGATTAATCCATTCCAGACTTTTAAAAACAACCCCTAAAACAGCAATTTAACATGAATTTTACTATCTAACAAGACCATTGATTCATAAAATGAAAGCAATAATCAATGTACTGTACTATAAAATAAATAAGATAGTATTGTAGATTATTTAGATATATATTTTTTTTTTCTTACCTGCACTGATGATGGTCATTGTTTGGATGGGGGGATTTTATCCATTTTTGCAGTCACACAATCAATCCAGTAGCTGAACTGGGTTCCACACAGTCATAGAAACAAATTAACTGAAAAAGCCTCAAAAACAAAAATGCAAAATAAATGGCAAAAATAAAAATGCCAAACTTAATCCGCTCTGGAAGTCCGTTTGACTTCCGAAATGTTCGAAAACCAAGGCACAGCTTCTGATTAGTGCAGGAAACAATAGCTGACAGTCGCATTGGACATTCGGCTTCTGAAAAATGTTCGAAAACCCGAACACTTACTTCTGGGTTTTCGGGGTTTGAGAACCAAGGTGTTTGAGAACCAAGCTACCACTGTATATCCTAAAGGAGTCAAGAGGAAACTTCTGTTTGAAGGCTGGGGTGGAGTGAGGACTCTCAAGCCAAGATTCCCAGCTCCAGATATTCTTCCGCAAATTCAAAATCTAGATCGTTCTGGTTCAAAATCTCTCTCTTCCCACCAATTTACACAACAGAAGACACTGTTCAGTTGAGGTTTTGGAGAGGGGAAAATGCAGGTGTAAAAAGATGGCATTGATCACACTAATATTTAACACCGTGCCCTGAAAATCCATTAAAAATAATTAAGATCTTCTTTACAAAAAGACCTCACAGTCAAATTTTAAAAGGTGGCAATTCAAAGAAAAGTCAAACCCATGTGCTAAAACTGGACCAGATTGTAAATTTTCTCTCTCTGTGTGCGTGTGTGTAAGAAAGAAAGCAGCAACTGCTTTGATATAATATTGATTGCTATGGTGATCGCAGGAAGGACCATTTAGCTCAGTGGCAGAGCAACTGCTTGGCATGCAGAAGGTCCCAGGTTCAAACCCCAGTGGGATCTCCAGGGAGGACTGGGGGTGTCCCCTGCCTGAAACCGTGCTGCTTCCAGCCAGTGCTGGTAATACACAGCTATAAGGTAAAGGAAAAGGGACCCCTGACCATTCAGTCCAGTCGTGACCAACTCTGGGGTTGCGGCGCTCATCTCACTTTATTGGCCGGGGGAGCCGGCGTACAGCTTCCAGGTCATGTGGCCAGCATGGCTAAGCCGCTTCTGGCGAACCAGCGCAGCGCACGGAAACGCCGTTTATCTTCCTGCCGGAGTGGTACCTATTTATCTACTTGCATTTTGACGTGCTTTCGAACTGCTAGGCTGGCAGGAGCAGGGACCGAGCAACGGGAGCTCACCCCGTCGCAGGGATTCGAAACCACGACCTTCTGATCGGCAAGTCCTAGGCTCTGTGGTTTAACCCACAGCGCCACCCGCTTCCCTTTTAATACACAGCAAGCTGGACTCAATTGTCTGACTCAGTAGGAGGAAGCTTTCTAGGTCCTCACATTCTGAACTGAGTTTGTTTCTTGATATTCTCTTTCCATCCCCTCTGATTTTAGGACCTCCTCGAGCGCCTGAAGGAAAAATTTCCGGAAGGGGAATTGGAGGCTCCCATCTCGAGGTCTGACGAGGCAGAGGATGGCTCTGACATGATGGACCTTGTTGACGCAGAAAGCCTCTCTTCCAGCCAGCTCAGACTTCAGACTTCCCTTCACCCTGCAGAAATGGAGGATCACTGGATGAAATTCCTGGCTTCCCCAAAGCGGAGGAGATATTTCTCCGGATGCTTCGGCACCAGGCTTGAGCGGATCGGGACCCAGACAGGCCTTGGGTGCAATGTCTACAGAGCCCGTAGGTCTCTTTCTAAGGAATCTCGTTGCTGGGTTGGGTGGGCATGCGGGATTCATTTATTTCACAAAACTCGCTTGCGAGAAATATTAGAATCAGCAGCTGAAAACAGTGCAGGCAACCTTCTGGGTCAAACCGAAATCTACTCTATGCTCTGTCCAGGCAAGCAATAGGCAATTTTCAGAGTTTAAGGATGCCTTTCCAGGCAGGCAAAACTACTCAAGGAGGGTGCAAGGTAGGGTTGGTTAGGGGGTGTGGCCTGTGAAGAAGGGGTGTGGCCTGTGTAACCTCCCAAGGGCCAGATCAAGAATCCTGGAGGGCCACAAGGTCTCCCATCCCTGAGCATTTCGTATGATCCAGCAGAGCTGTCCTTATATCACTCTCCTTTGTCAGAACGAACATCGATAGAGAGGAATGAGCTTGGAAAGCAGCTAGTCCTCATGAGTAACACTGCTCCTTTTAAGCAGAAGGGGAACCCTTAACTCAAAAGATCTTTAACTCTTTTTTTTTAGGTTCTTGGAGGAAACCCAGAAGTTGAAATCAGAAGACGACCTCGGCTGCCCCAAAAGTTTGGAAAACAAAGGCCATAAAGTTTATATAGACTGTTAAATCTGTTTGAGAACTCTCTGCGCACAGTCCCTCTCAATAATCATATCCCTTCCTAGACAATATAAAAACCTGTATATTCATATTGTATGGGCTCCCGCTACATTTGAAGCTTAGTGGTGTGCCACTGAGACCGTCTTTCGGCCTACTGGAACGGGAGCTTTGGTGCTGCAAAATCTGAATAAACATTTTATAGAAATGGAGTGTTTTCACTGTGGTGTAGCGATAGCAGAGAAATTTCACAATTTGCATTCATGAGCCTGTATAATTTGCACACCCTGAATCCATATGCACGTGACCACAAGCTTTGAAATACACATGCAGAACATTTCTCGACCAAAAAAAATAAAAAAAAATAAAGTATGAGGAAAAACTTGTGGTAAAGTAAGGGTCACCACACTTCTTTTGGGCTGAGGAGCACATTGAGAATTTTGAGGACATGTCGCGGATGGGATGCCAGTCACAAAATGGCTGCCAAGGCAGTGGTGTGGCCTAACACAAAATGGCTGCCATGAGGCGGAAAATGAAATGACCACAAAATGATTGGGGGGGGGGGATCCTTTCTACTAGTGAGGAAAAGGCCCCTTCGTCAGTCACTGCTACATTTGTTCACAGAGAGAAGCTCTTTCCCCCTCTCCTCTGTTCAGAACAAAAAGGAGGGTGGGTGTCTGATCCTTTCTCCTTTTCAGAAATTTACTTTTTCTTAATTGGCAAAGCATCGTCAGCTGACATTAAACAATAAAAGCATTCCCTCGGCCCTAACGCACTTATATGCATTCATTAATATAGGCAGCCTATAAGTCTAAATAGAAGTCCACTTATTGGGGTTGGTGATTATGAGATATCAGTTCCGCCACAGAAAGGGAGATCTTCGCTTTCCCGTTGTTTTACAGGAAAAACTATATAACGGTATAATTAGATTGATGTCATCAAAAGCATTCAATATATTCTTTATATATAAGAATTCATTGATAACATGGTCCAATCTTAGGGGTCAGGGAAAGCCTGGGCAAAAAGACAAGCCTTTGCAAGATATCAGATGTCGCAGATCAACAGCGCTTCATGTCTGGAAGAGGGGAGGGTGTTCCATTAGAGGAACAACAACAGAAAATCCCAGTGTCTGGGATAATAGGGTGAGGTGAAATCGGTAAAAAAATTCCCAGATGTTCTAAGTGAGACGTGGGGAACCTTTGGCCCTGCGGATATTGCAGAGCTACAACTCACATCATTCATTGGTCATGTTTGCCAGGGTTGGTTGGGAATTGCAGTACCACATCACGCAGAGAACCCTGATCTAAATTGTTGCCTTCTCAGACAAGATACCCGGATCTATTTTACACACAGTTTGAGGACACTGGCAGCTACCAAAGTTCACCAGAGTCCACCTCCTCTCTCACCTTTCTGTTTTTAAACGCTCACAAAGCTTTCCCTCTGCCTGCATTTTACTGTCTCCAGCTTTCCCTTGCCTTATCTAGCCCAAGCAGGCAGGCACAGCTAGCAGCCACCAGCCACCAAAAGCCATCACAGAACCAGCAGTGGCTGTGAATCGTACAAAATCCTTGCCTTGTTTTGTTTTGTTTTAATCAAATATCCTTTATTAGGCATAGCAAACCACACATTATCAAACAGACACCGTATACAAATTGTGCAAAATACGAGCTCAGCATAACAAGGTTTGTCCCAATCAGATCTTTAACTCCAGAGAAAATCAATTTGCATAAATAATACAAGACAACACTACCGAATCATCAATCAATTAAGAACCACTAAATCTCTTTATAATGGCCCAGTCTTTCTACATGGACAGCACTCAAAAATTCACCCACTATTAAAAGTAATTTGATCATTCCTGTCCGAGAGCAGGTCCTGAACCGCTGGAAGCATAGAAATCAGTCTATTGAGTTGTAAGGCCTCTAATAATTGTCTTCTGGCATAATGCCAAAATCACAAGAAAAGAAAATATGCTCCAAAATATCAGGTTCCTGTTTGCTACATTTGCAGAGATGCTCTGATTCTGGGAGAGCTAAATATCTTCCTCTCACTATCATCAAAGGAAACATATTAAATCTGGCTAACATAAACAGCCTGCACAATTCATGATCCTTCAGATTTGTCATGTATCCCTTTTGAAAATCTCTACACAAAGGGAGATTTAAATAGAGAGGAGAGCAAGTGCCTTGCTTGAAACTGCCAGTCAGGGCCAACAACACTGTGCTGGGTGAAGTGCTGACTCAGTAAAAGGCCATCTGAAAACCTTCCTGCTTTGTCCTAACCTGATCTCCCACCGGTCCCTGATTTCCTTGCTCCCCTAAACGCTGCCACCCCAACCAATTTTTAAAGCCCTTAATTTCTGGCCTCAAGACTAGACTAGTTTCATGACATGCAGAGATCTGAGGATTCAAAACCACAGCAGGAACGATTCTCCTGTTTGTTTTCCCCCCAAAGGGAGCAGGAAAGAAAAAGTAAATCCATGCTGGGATAAGAGAGACAGGTTCTGTTGACCCGGGAAAGGGTTCTGCGGTTCAACATCCCCACCTAGCTTAAGGAAGTAGCTGGAGGAAGGTTTGATTCAGCACCTTGGAGAGATGCCAAGGGCATGGATCACATCAGTTCTTTCTAGGAGGAAGCTTACAGTATTATTTTCTGGTTCCCAGCAAAGCGAGCTTGCAGGGAGGCTGTCGCACAAAAATGTGAACTATTCCGCCAAGGTCAAACCACTTTCAAAGAAAAGGACACTCTGGGCGCAAATTGATGCATCGGAACAGTGCTTTTCACAAACTTTCCTGCCATAGGGGAACTTTTTAAAAAAAATGTACTCAGTGCTACTCCTGCTCAGAATTTGACCCCAGCCACATTCACACCATCTAATAATAATGATCGTTTTTATTTTATACCCCACCCATCTGGCTGGGTTTCCCCAGCCCCTCTGGGCGGCTTACAACATATAAAACAGAACAAAACATCAAACATTAAAAAACAAGATATCCTATACAATCAACAAACAAACCAACAAATCAATAACAACCAATAACAACAATCAGTTTACAGTTATACCCAAATTAAAGTAAACGCCGACCCCAGCTAAACATTTAACCAACACCAACCCGACAAAAACGAAACAGGAACCAAAATTAGAATTGTTTAAAACATCCTATACCCTTTTAAAATGTGGCTCTTTTCTGGATGGTCAGGCAGCAGCAACCATATTTTGAAAGCACCAGGACATCACTTTAAACAGCCATGGCTTCCGTCCAAAGAATCTTGGGAACTGTAGTTTGCTAAGAGCCCTGAGAGTTAGGAAACCCCCTTTGCAGAGGCACAAGTCTCAGAGTGGTTTTTTAACGATCAATCTACCCTGCCAGGGAACTCTGGGAATAGTAGCTCTGGGAGAGGTTGCCTGACAACTCTCGAGGAAAAATGGGGGGAAAATAAGGATGATATGTTTCTGGATAATATGTTTTGTTTTAATTTTGAATAATAAAAGTGTATGTATGTACAGACACACACACACACACACACACACACACACACACACACACACATATATATTGCCTCCCTCGGCAATCTTCGCGGAGCTCTGGCCCAATGGTTGCCAGTGGCTTGAATTAATTAATTTTATAATGAATGATTTTAGAGTGTTGTTTGTGCTGTACTTTTGTACTGTTTTATTGTTGTTAGCCGCCCTGCGCCCGGCTTCGGCTGGGGAGGGCGGGATATAAATAAAATTTATTATTATTATTATTATTATTATTATTATTATATATGAAAAATTGGGAGAGGGAAGAAACATTGCCAGCCCACATTAAGAATAAAAATAAAAATCCATCCATCCTAACTTAAGCATATAGAGTTGTATTCATCCAAGCCAACAAGAGGCCTTATAAGAATTCAAGGGCACAGTCCAAGCAGATGGGAGGGGGACTGTCAAGGGTGATAGAGAGCAGAGTTAGTGTGGGGGTGGCTGGGAGGAGTTCTGAGGGCCAGATCCGTGATACCTGGAGGGCCACATAAGCCCTGCCTTATACCCTTCTTGCATTTGTGGCTCTGGGATGGGTCTGACTTGCTTCCCCTTGGGATTTTCTCCCCATAGGAAAATGATAGTTCATCTCTCTGTTCTTTCGCTTGGAAGACAGGGTGGAGCAGTGGTTAGAGGGCTGGGCCAGGACCTGGGAGAGTGGGGTTCAAATCCCTGCCCAGGGGTAAATTCAGGCCAGCTACCGCCTCCCAGGCTAACCTAAAATGGGGAGGGGGAGAAGTGTGCATGCCGACTGGAGCTCTTGGGAAGAAAACAGTGGGATATAATGAATAAGAACAATGATAAAAAAGAACTTCACTGTTTGACTGAGTCTGTACTCAGGACTGTGAATGCAGTCTGAAATGAAAAGACTTTGGGGAGGTCTGCTTTTTTTTGCTACATTACAATGCATCAGTAAAAGTGAAAAAGAAGGAACTAAGGGATGCGGGTGGCGCTGTGGGTTAAACCACAGAGCCTAGGACTTGCTGATCAGAAGGTCGGCAGTTCGAATCCCCATGACAGGGTGAGCTCCCGTTGCTCGTTCTCTGCTCCTGGCAACCTTGCAGTTCAAAAGCACGTCAAAGTGCAAGTAGATAAATAGGTACCACTCCGGTGGGAAGGTAAACGCTGTTTCCGTGCGCTGCTCTGGTTCGCCAGAAGCGGCTTAGTCATGCTGGCCACATGACCCAGAAGCTGTATGCCGGCTCCCTTGGCCAATAAAGCGAGATGAGCACCGCAACCCCAGAGTCGGCCGCGACTGGACCTAATGGTCAGGGGTCCCCTTTACCTTTACCTTTTAAGGTTCGGTTTAGGTATCTGACCCACAGGCTAGCTGCCCCATCTGGGCCAAAGGTCATGATGCGCAGGTAAGCTTAATTTTATTGATTGATTGATTTCATAAAATTTATACACTGCTTGATTGTTGTTGGTTTTTTTAAACGCAAAGTGGTTGACAAAAAAGACTAAAGAACAGATTAAAAACTTCCTAAATACCTGGGCAGGCTTGTCTAAATGAAAATGGGTTTTTTTGTTTTTTGTTTAGCAGGTACAGCCAAGAGTGCAGCAAAGGCAACTGCCTGACGTCAAGTGGCGGGGAGTTCCAAAGTGCCGCTGCGCTCAAAGATGGAGTTCTTGCAAATGTCTGACTCTTCTCGATGCCGATATTAAGCCCCGAATGGAACAAAGCCACTTGGAAAGGAAGCAAAGCCAGGACTGAGCTGATACCTTCATTACTCCATATATAGGAATGGCCCTTGAGGGAAAGTCCAGGGCTGGGGTGTCATCAGATTCCCTCTCACCCTGCAAAAAACCCCGCTGTCCTCTCCAGCTTCTTGCTTTTGCTATACAAGGCGATTTCCCCAAGGTGCATTTCTGGGGATATTTTGAGGGTCCTCTCTGCTCAGATCTGGGAAATGTTTGAAAGTTGAGGGAGGGGAGGTAAAAGAAATTCCAACGAGGGATGGGGTTTGTAATCTCCGAGGCCAGTATCAGCCGAGAGGGCAGGCGGCATGAAATCACCGGCTTGTGACTCCTGCATGCTAGGAGATCAGCTGCCCAGTGACACCTAATAAAGGGAATCTTCTCTGAAAGGAGCTGCATTCCGGCGAGGGGGCTGGAATGCGCCCCAGATAGTCCCACCGATAACCCAAGGAAGCAGAGCTCAGCTCAAAGCGTATATAAGGCCAGCTGGGGAGAAAAAGGCAGCATAGGACACAACAGAGCAGGGACGAAGTGAAGCCTGATATTTCTCGAAAAGGACATCGTCTCCAGGGCGAGAAAGCCAAACGCACCTTCTCCAGGCATGGACACCCAGGGCTCGACCGCAGTCACATTTGCCTTGCTGTTCCTCCTCTGTTTCCAGCACCCCATGGCCCACCCCATCGACAGCCTCAGCCCCGCCAAGGAGCTAGCCAGCATGGAGGTAAGGAACCCAGAGGGGCAAGTTTGGGGAGACTCAGTCCTATGTTGTTTAGTCGTGTCCGACTCTTCGTGACCCCATGGACCAGAGCACTCCAGGCACTCCTGTCTTCCACTGCCTCCCGCAGTTTGGTCAGACTCATGCTGGTAGCTTCGAGAACACTGTCCAACCATCTCGTCCTCTGTCGTCCCCTTCTCCTTCTGCCCTCCATCTTTCCCAACATCAGGGTCGTTTCCAGGGAGTCTTCTCTTCTCATGAGGTGGCCAGAGTATTGGAGCCTCAGCTTCACGATCTGTCCTTCCAGTGAGCACTCAGGGCTGATTTCCTTCAGAATGGATTGGTTTGATCTTCTTGCAGTCCATGGGACTCTCAAGAGTCTCCTCCAGCACCATAATTCAAAAGCATCAATTCTTCGGCGATCAGCCTTCTTTATGGTCCAGCTCTCACTTCCATACATCACTACTGGGAAAACCATAGCTTTAACTATACAGACCTTTGTTGGCAAGGTGATGTCTCTGCCTTTTAAGATGTTGCCTAGGTTTTTCTAAGAATCCCAGAGGGGCAGGTTTTGGGAGACTCAGTCCTAGGATTATCTCCCAGGAGAGGTCTTGGGAGAGAAATTCACGGAAGGCCAACCTTCCATGTTCAGAGGCAGTCTACCCCAGAGTCGGAGGAGACTGGGGGTGATTGACAGGGAAGCGATGCCAGCCTCTGTCCGCTCGCTGTTGGGAACAAAATACTGGGTTGTTGTGCACATGAGAATGCATTCTTTTAGGGAGAACTGCTTTGCAAAAACAACAACCACTTGCATCTATTAGGTAAAATTCACACCAACGGATTTTTCACAAGGACTTTAAAAAAAAATCGAATAGATTTTTTATTAAAACACAAAAATCAATTAAAACAGACTCCTCCCAGAAAACAGGTGTGAAATACCAAAGAAGAGGAGGAAAGGGACCTGAGAAGTGTTAGAATATGTTAGAAATTACAAGTCTATTTTAAAAAAAAAACACATTAATATACATTTTAATAAAATTAAATAAAACTTCAAAAAATAAATAAATGGCAAATTGTTATAGAGATGTGGAGGACTGAATCTAAGATTATTGTTGTGATTAGAACTTTTATTCTACCTTTTCTTCTAGGTTGCACATGGTCGCATACATTCATTCCCCCACAACAACCTTGTGAGGTAGGTTGGGCTGAGAGGCAGTGACTGGCCCAAGGTCACCACAGTGAGTTTCATGGCCAGTGAGTGGAGGATTTGAACGCAGGTCCAATGCTCTAGCCAATGTACCGGTCGCTGCTGGGAACAAAATACTGGGTTGTGTCTTTTGCCCTTCTTCCATTCTTAGCTATGGCTGGGCGGATCTGTCCTTCCTCAGTTGCAGTTCATCGCTGCAGAATGTTAGGATGGCAGTGAGCGTTGGCGACTTGTAAAAGACAGGCAACGTTGCAGAGTGGTTACAGAGCTAGGACCTGGGAGACCAGGGTTTAAATCCCCACTTGTCCATGCAGTTCACTGGGTGACCTTGGGATCCGTCCCTGCCTCCCAGCCGAACCTAAAATTCTAGGATATAAATGCAACAAATAAATGATAAAATTCATAAAGGATTCCAGGCTTGTGCCAGGGAGACAAGGCTTTTCCATGTTACGGAGTGTCTAACTGGGATTTATTTATTTATCACCTGTTATAACATTCATATTCCACCTCAAGGTGGCCTATGCTTTCTTCCCCTCCATCTCCCACATTTTACCCTCACAACAACCGTGACATGTAGGAAGGGTCGGGGGAGAAAGTTGATCCTCTTTGCATTTTAGTGAGAAAACAACCCGGTTCACAGTTCGAGACTGGATACACGAAACGAAACAGAAGCGACCTTTGAAACTCACACATCTCCCAATTTTGCAGGGCGGTTCTCCGTCAACAAGCGTGCGCAAAAGTGCAGAGGCCAACGAAAAGGAACATGCTAAAATATGTCACATTGGGGGACTCTGCTTGTGCAAATGTGTATATGCTGGTCAAAATTGCTTATAGAAATTTGCACGTATGGATTTTCTGCCACAGAGATGTGTAGTGACGAATTTTAAGACTGGGAAGACGATGAGCTGAAATGGACAGATTTATTTACTGTATTTTTTATAAGACTCACTTTTCCCCTCCTAAAAAGTAAGGGGAAATGTGTGTGCGTCTTATGGAGCGAATGCAGGCTGCGCAGCTATCACAGAAGCAAGAACAGCAAGAGGGATTGCTGCTTTCACTGCGCGGCGATCCCTCTTGCTGTTCTGGCTTCTGAGATTCAGAATTTTCTTTTTCTTGTTTTCCTCCTCCAAAAACTAGGTGCGTCTTGTGGTCTGGTGCATCTCATAGAGCGAAAAGTACGGTATTTGTTCTGTTACGGTCCCACCTTTTTCTCAGAGGAGCTCAAGGTGTCAAACTTGCTTCTCCCCCCTCCTCATTTAATCCCCACAACGACCCTGTGAGGTAGGCTAGGCTGAGAGGCAGGGAATGGGCCCAAAGTCAGCCAGTGAGCTTCCTGGCTGAGGGAGGATTTGAACGCTGGTCTCCCAGACCCTAGCCAGATAATCACTCTAACCACTCCAGCACCCTGTCTCTTGAATGATCAGGTGTCTTCCTTGTTAACTTCTTGAAGGCATCTGACTCACTGACCTTGATGCTGGGGAGTCTTACGCAGTTTAGGAGACCTGGAGCTCAGCAGCAAAATGCATGTTTCATATCTGTAAAATCACAAGCCCGAAAGAAAGAATTGTATTTGCAGAACGACAAACCCGGTTTCCAGGAACAGGCAGACACCAGAAAGAAACTGGGGGGGGGGGGTGAGCCCTGGGACCTTCTGCATGCAAAGCATGTGCTCTACCACCAAAGTATGACACTTCCCCCATTAAAAGGCAGCATTGCCTAATGGTTAGAGTCTCAGACTGGGACCTGAGAGACCAGGGTTCAAATCCCTGCTGGGCCATGAAGGTCATCTGAGGTGACCTTAGGCCAGTCCCTGTCTCTTAGCTTAGCCTACCTCACAGGGTTGTTGAGGGGATTAAATGAGGACCATGTATGCCAACTCAAGCTCCTTGGAGGAAGAAGAAGGTGGGATGGGAACCTAACAAATAACGAAATAATAAAGGTAAAGGGACCCCTGACCATTAGGTCCGGTCGTGGCCGACTCTGGGGTTGCGGCGCTTACAGCTTCCGGGTCATGTGGCCAGCAGGACTAAGCCGCTTCTGGCAAACCAGAGCAGCACACAGAAACGCCGTTTACCTTCCCGCTGGAGCGGTACCTATTTATCTACTTGCACTTTGACGTGCTTTCAAACTGCTAGTTGGCAGGAGCAGGGACCGAGCAACGGGAGCTCAACCCCATTGCGGGCATTCGAACCGCTGACCTTCTGATCGGCAAGTCCTAGGCTCTGTGGTTTAACCCACAGCGCCACCCGCGTCCCATAATGAAATAATAAAAGTAACTAAATAAGACTGTGGTGTTCAGGGTCTAAAATTACCTGTCTCAGCCGTTCCCAAAGTAGACAGTAGTGCCAGCTGGGGGGGCAGTGGTGGGTTTACCTAGGGGGCGCTAATAGGCAAGGTAGTGGCAGGGGACTGGTTGCCATCTGTCTCAAGAAACAATGGCGTACAACCATGGGGGTGAAGCCAGACCGCTGGAGAATCACAGCACCTATCAGACTTTGAAAAGCTGGTCTCATGGGATCAAATTCACCAGTTGTGTCAAATTCAGTGAACTAAAATGTCTAAACCGGATTCTGAACAGGTGTGCCATTAATTGTTCCTGCTTTGAATTTTATTGGGTTATTATATATGCCAACTGCTATTCTGAATAATGCTTTTTACAGAGTAGGGCAGCGGGCAGGAAGAATGAGTTTATGGAACCAAGGGGATGGGGGGAGGCTGGAAAAGTGTGGGAACCGCTGAGCTAGCTGAACCCTAGGAAGGAAGGAAGGAAGGAAGGAAGGAAGGAAGGAAGGAAGGAAGGAGAAAGAAAGAAAGAAAGAAAGAAAGAAAGAGAGAGGGGGGGAGGGAGGGAGGGAAGGAAGGAAGGAAGGAGAAAGGAAGGAAGGAAGGAAGGAAGGAAGGAAGGAAGGAAGGGAGGGAGGGAGGAAGGAAGGAAGGAAAGAGAAAGAAAGAAAGAAAGAAAGAAAGAAAGAAAGAAAGAAAGAAAGAAAGAAAGAAAGGGAGGGAGGGAGGGAGGGAGGGAGAGAGAGGCAGAGAGAAAGAAAGAAAGAAAGAAAGAAAGAGAGGGAGGGAGGGAGGAGGGAGGGAAGGAAGAAAGGAGAAAGAAAGGAAGGAAGGAAGGAAGGAAGAAAAAGAGGGAGGGAGAGGGAGGGAGGAAGGAAGGAAGGAGGGAAGGAGAAAGAAAAAGAAAGAAAGAAAGAAAGAAAGAAAGAAAGAAAGAAAGAAAGAAAGAAAGAAAGAAAGAAAGAAAGAAAGGAAGGAAGGAAGGAAGGAAGGAAGGAAGGAAGGAAGGAAGGAAGGGAGGGAGGGAGGGAGGAAAGTGAGGTTCAGGCAGCAGAAAGGTTTGGAGGCAATGCAGAGGAACGAAAGAGGAACATTATATTCATTTTCCATTCAGGCCCTTCTGCAGCGGTTGGAGGAGAAAGTCTCCCTGATGGAAGCTCTGCAGAACAGCCCCAACCTAGAAGATCCTGAAAGCCAGAGGGAGGGACTGGCCGAGTTCCTGGATGATGGCAACAGCCAGCAAGTCGAGACCCCGGCCGATTCAGCCCCGTTCCTCTCCGACCGCAGCTCCCTGCTTAAGCGCATGCGGGGAATCCAGACAGCGAAGAGCTGTTTCGGGAGGAGACTGGACCGGATCGGGGAAGTGACTGCGATGGGATGCAGAGGTGAGCCCTCCCCACCCCACCCCCTTGTTATTGCCGGACCTAGGATAGCTCTTTCTGGGAGAATTACAGGAATGCACACACCCCTCCAAGCTTATGATAACAGATGCATTCTTCGTTTTGGTCCACCATCTAAACCTGCAAATCCTTCCCATCGATGCCCAGAACAGGGACTTGTACAGAGTTGCGACAGGCAACTCCCTCTTTAGTGAGAGCTGCCTGTTGCAACTCTCCACGAGTCCCCGTTCTTAGCATCAAACGCTTCAAGGGTGGATATCTGGCATCTTGGAAGTCTCGTGTTTCACCAGAACCCTCTTCCCAGCTGCTTCCTCCCACTGATCAATCTAGGAAGAGTAATGGATCTTCCAAGTTCTCTTGCTTGGCTCGCATATCTCTAATGAAAAGCCAAGGAATAAATCTTACTGGGGTCTATAAAGCTGGTAAAATAACAGCTATATATTCCTGCATTGCAGGGGGTTGGACTAGATGACTCTCAGCACCCCTTCTAATCCTAGGATTCTAAATCCTTTTCTTTTTTAACCTTTCGCTTCTAGGGTCGAGGAGGAATTAAGATCCGCTTTCCTGCCATCAGCTCACGGCATCCGACCTTTTGACGACATGCGAATTTCTGAAGACGTGTGCTTTCCCCCCAAAAGTCCTCTGGAATCATGCTTCCCACTTATTTATTTCTTAATTTATTGATTTATTTATTTCTTTGACCTCTTGTATGTTTGTGTTTTCTTTTTTTCCTTTTCTTTTTTCTAAAACAAACAAACTTTCTTACTTTCGGCACAGAGATTGAAACAATAAAAATCAAACACATTTGCTCTTTTCCCCGCTGCTGTTGGATCTACTTGTTCCTCATCCTCTCGCGTGTTCTTTCCTTTCAAACATGTATTTGCATAGCCACACCCACTCCCAGAACCAGCTCCTAGTTGTGTAATTTCAAAGCTCCTCCAGGATACAGAAGGCTGAAATGGAGGAAAATTCAGTGCTGGGGATGGAGAGTTACAAGAGACGCTAGATTTCATTTGCATTTAAAGGCAAACCTACCTAATTCACACTTTCTGAAACAATACATAAGGTAAAGGTAAGGTCAAGGACCCTTGGACAGTTAAGCCCAGTCACAGGCGATTATGGGGTTGTGGCGCTCATCTTGCTTTCAGGCCGAGGGAGCTGGCATTTGTCCACAGACAGATTTCCGGGTCATGTGGCCAGCAGGACTAAACCGCCTTTGGACACTGTGATGGAAGCCAGAGTGCATGGAAACACTGTTCACCTTCCCACCGGAGCGGTACCTATTTATCTACTTGCACTGGTGTGCTTTCAAACTGCTAGGTTGGCAGAAGCTGGGACAGAGCAACAGGCGCTCACCCTGTCATGGGGATTTGAACCGCTGACCTTCTGATCAGCAAGCCCAAGAGGCTCAGTGGTTTAGAACAGGGGGCAGCAAACTTTTTCAGCAGGGGGCTGGTCCACTGTCCCTCAGACCTTTTGGGGAGCCGGACTATATTTTGGGGAAAAAAATAAATGAACAAATTCCTATGCCCCACAAATAACCCAGAGATGCATTTTAAATAAAAGCACACATTCTACTCATGTAAAAATACGCTGATTCCCAGACCATCTGCGGGCCGGATTTAGAAGGCAATTGGGCCAGATCCGGCCCCCGGACCTTAATTTGCCTACCCATGTTTTAGACCACAGCGCCAACCGAATCCCTACTTGAAACAATACATAAACAATACATTATTATTATTATTATTATTATTAGAAGCAAAACACAGCCCTCCTGCAATATTTGAAATGTGCATTTTACCCAAATTTGCAATGCAAGTCTCCAGCCAAGCAATGCATACAGAATTAAATTATATCCTGGTAAACTGTGCATAAAAATGTATATGTTTTGGTGAAAGTGAGAATGCATTACTTTAGAGGAAACTGCTTTGCAAAAACAACAACTTGTATCTATTCACATCAACTGATTTTCACAAGGATTATATTAAAAAAATAAAAATTGAATAGATTTTTACTAAAACACAAAAATCAAGCTTAGAACAGACTCGTCCCAGAAAACAGGTTTGAGATTCCAATGGAAAGGTGGAAAGGGACCTGAGATGTGTTAAAGGTAAAGGTAAAGGTACCCCTGCCCGTACGGGCCAGTCGTGTCCGATTCTGGAGTTGCGCGCCCATCTCGCTTAAGAGGCCGGGGGCCAGCGCTGTCTGAGGACACTTCCTGGTCACGTGGCCAGCGTGACGAAGCTGCTCTGGCGAGCCAGCACCAGCGCAGCACACGGAAACGCCGTTTAGCTTCCCGCTATAAAGCAGTACCTAGTTATCTACTTGCACTTAAGGGTGCTTTCAAACTGCTAGGTGGGCAGGAGCTGGGACGGAACGACGGGAGCTCACACCGCCGCGGGGATTCGAACCGCCGACCATACGATCAGCAAGTCCTAGGCACTGAGGTTTTACCCACAGCGCCACCCGCGTCCTTTTGAGATGTGTTAGAATATGTTAGAAACTACAAGTCTATTGAAAAACACACCACACCATTAATATGCATTTTAATAAAATTAAATAAAACTTCAAAAAATAAATAAATGGCAGATTGATATAGAGATGTGGAGGACCGAATCTAAGATTATTATTATTAGAATTTATATTCTACCTTTTCCTCTAAGGAGCACATGGTCGCATACATTCATTCCCCCACAACAACCCTGTGAGGTAGGTTGGGCTGAGAGGCAGTAACTGGCCCAAGGTCACCACAGTGAGTTTCATGGCCAGTGAGTGGAGGATTTGAACGCAGGTCCAATGCTCTAGCCACTGTACCAGACTGGACTGGTATAACGGAGTAACGGAGAACCTGGAATTGACAGATTATCCCAATGTGCAGAATTTCTGAAGGGTGCTCTTTTTACACATAGAATCATACAACTGAAGAGGTGGAAGGTGTCCTGTGGGTCATCTGGTCCATGACGGATGGCCATCCAAAATCTATGCTTAAATACCTCCAAGGAAGGAGAATCCATAACCTCCTGAGGGAGGTCCATAGACTCAGCAGACTGAAGGAGCAAATAGATGAAAAAAAAACCCCATATTTTAAACCAGAAAACATACGGAGAATGGAAAATATTTAAGGAATATATAAGACTATATTGCAAAAATGATACCATCTTAGCAGAATTGGAATGATACTTGTGAATAATAGATAACTGAAATAAACATTATAATGGAATGTAAGAAAAAGGATATAAAACAAAACTGCGTGATAATACCATGACAACAGAAAAAGTATAACGAGAAAGATTGGAAGTTTTTTGCAAAAAAAATAATTGTATTTGATAGATATAATGTCATATAAATCTTCGGTCTTTTTTTCTTTTTTTATCATTTCTTGACTGCTTCAAATTTTTCTTTCTTTTCTTTTCTTTTTCTTTCTTTCTGTATTTAACTCAGTAATATTTACCTTTGTTGTATGCTTGTATGTTTGTATTTTAAACCAATAAATATTTATTCAAAAGGAAAAAAGGGGGGGAGAAAAGAAAAACCCCATATTTCTTAATTCTACGACAGTGTCCGCCGTGTCTCAATTCTCCAAAGGAACACAGACCCTGGGGAATGCCGGAAAACCCATGGGCCCTTGCCACAACTCAGCCGAGAGAGGAGCAGGCACCCAACTTTTGTTACAATGCAATAAAATGCAATTCAATAAAAACGAGAGAAGTACAAAAAAGCATTATTATTATTTTATTGATAGATAGATAGATAGATAGATAGATAGATAGATAGATAGATAGATAGATGATAGATAGATAGATAGATAGATAGATAGATAGATAGATAGATAGATCGATATAGATAGATAGATAGATGATGATAGATAGATGATAGATAGATAGATAGATAGATAGATAGATAGATAGATAGATGATAGATAGATGATAGATAGATAGATAGATAGATAGATATAGATAGATAGATAGATAGATAGATAGATAGATAGATAGATAGATAGATAGATGATAGATGATAGATGATGATAGATAGATAGATGATAGATAGATAGATAGATGATGATGATAGATAGATAGATAGATAGATAGATAGATGATAGATGATAGATAGATGATAGATAGATAGATAGATAGATAGATAGATAGATAGATAGATGATAGATGATAGATAGATAGATGATAGATGATAGATGATAGATAGATATAGATAGATAGATAGATAGATAGATAGATAGATAGATAGATAGATAGATAGATAGATAGATAGATGATAGATAGATAGAGATAGATAGATAGATAGATAGATGATAGATAGATAGATAGATAGATAGATAGATAGATGTTAGATAGATAGATAGATAGATAGATAGATAGATAGATGATAGATAGATAGATAGATAGATAGATAGATGATAGATAGATAGATAGATAGATAGATAGATAGATAGAGATAGATAGATAGATAGATAGATGATAGATGATAGATAGATAGATAGATAGATAGATAGATAGATAGATACATGATAGATGATAGATGATAGATGATAGATGATAGATGATAGATAGATAGATAGATAGATAGATAGATAGATAGACCCCCGCCCCCAATCTGGCTGGGCTTCCCCAGCCACTCTGGGCAGCTTCCAACAAAAGATTAAAATACAGTAATGAATCAAACATTAAAAGCTTCCCTAAACAGGGCTGCCTTCAGATGTCTTCTAAAAGTCTGGTAGTTGTTCTTCTCTTTGATATCTGGCGGGAGGGCGTTCCACAGGGCAGATGCCACTGCCGAGAAGGCCCTCTGCCTGGTTCCCTGTAACTTGGCTTCTCGCAGGGAGGGAACCACCAGAAGGCCCTCGGCGCTGGACCTCGGTGTCCAGGCAGAACAATGGGGTTGGAGACGCTCCTTCAGATATATATGGCATATCCGAGAGACTTCGGGTCAGGTTAGTTGTCTTGCCAAATGCAAGGTGGTTCTTTTCAAATGAGATTCAGAAGTAACACAAAACACAAGCGAGTGAGAAGATTAACAGCAAGCAATATATATATACCCAGCAAGCTCCTCAGCCTGCCACTTGGAAGCCCTCAAGAACCAGTGGAATGAACCCCATAGGTAGCCTCAGTTTGCACGGCCCTGCAGCCAATCAGTCTGTGCACGAGCTTCTCAAAAACTATGCCCCAAACCATTCGATTTACAGCTAGCTAGCTTGTTAAAGGTAAAGGGACCCCTGACCATTAGGTCCAGTCGTGTCCGACTCTGGGGTTGTGGCGCTCATCTCGTTTTACTGGCCAAGGGAGCCAGCGTACAGCTTCCGGGTCATGTGGCCAGCATGACTAAGCCGCTTCTGGCCAACCAGAGCAGCACACGGAAACGCCGTTTACCTTCCTGCCAGAGCAGTACCTATTTATCTAATTGCACTTTGATGTGCCTTCGAACTGCTAGGTTGACAGGAGCAGGGACCGAGCAACGGGAGCTCACCCCGTCGCGGGGATTCGAACCGCCGACCTTCTGATCAGCAAGTCCTAAGCTCTGTGGTTTAACCTACAGCACCACCCGCATCCCCTAGCTAGCCTGTTAGCCTGTGTTATAAGAAAAAACTGTTCCTTTATCCCTTGTGGGGTATCCAAGAGCCGGTATAAAGTCCTTAAGTGGGTTCCCTATCGATAGGAGAAAATAACAGAGGCCAACCAGAGAATATTGAGAAGCAAAGCAGCTAGCAAGCATGATCTTTATTAAATTGTTGCAACAGGGTCTCCCGCTCTCCCCACGCAGGGAAGGAGGAGAGGAACCCCAAACATTGGTGTGCAAGCTCTTATATAGACTTTTGAAATTCCCCACCCTGTAGCTCCCCCAGGCAACTGTTCAGCCACTGTAAGAAGACGATGCTGGACTAGGTGGGCCACTGGCTGGATCGAGTAGATTAAATCTCAAAGCAACACAAAGCCATGGGGTATTAGACCCGGTGCATTTTGAAATACACTTCCGACATAAAACCATTTTAACCGAGGAAAAGGGTTAAAAACATAGAATCATAAAATGGTAGAGTTGGAAGGAACCCAAAGGATCATCTAGTCTTCTAGTCCAACCCCTGGAATGCAAGAACGTGGGCTTTTTGGTCGGGGTGATGCGCGGGATTTGCAGTGGCGGGCAGGTTGTAGAGCAATTTGCATTGGTGACCCCCCCCCCCCAAAAAAAGCTTCCCCCCCCCGGGAAAAAAAAATCTCAACAACTTTGGGCCAAAAATAGGGGTCGTCTTATACACGGGGGCATCTTATACATGGGAAAAGATGGTATTTGATTTAGTTTTATACATTTTTGCCAGTTTACCTTACTACAAGACCACCACATATGATAAAAAGAACCTTCTTTCTCTTTACATTTCCAACACGTCTTTGATTTAGATTTATACATTCTTGCCAGTTTACTCCGTGCTAGATACCATCGATATATCATTTTCAGGGGGAGAGGGCTCTTGGGTTCCAATCCTGCTTGCGAGTCTCCCCCAGGATGATGGACAAGAACATGGGTAGGCAAACTAAGGCCCGGGGGCCGGATCCAGCCCAATCGCCTTCTCAATCCGGCCCGCGGATGGTTCAGGAATCAGCATGTTTTTACATGAGTAGAATGTGTCCTTTTATTTAAAATGCATCTCTGGGTTATTTGTGGGGCATAGGAATTCGTTCATTATTTTTTAAAAAAATATAGTCCGGCCCCCCCACAAGGTCTGAGGGACAGTGGACCGGCCCCCTGCTGAAAAAGTTTGCTGACCCCTGGAGTAGATGGTCCACTGGCCTGGTCCTTCAGGGCTCCTGTTATGTTCTCATGTGTTTACCAGCCAGCTAGTTCTTTGTCCCACTTCCTTCCACTGCTGGAATCTACCAGTCGGCTTGTGGAAGCCGCTTCCCTGGAGAGATAAACTAAGAGGGGAAACTTTGGAGCTTCTTTCACACCTTGGAAGTGTGAAGCCTCTTCAGTTGAGTCAACAGGAATGTGGTGTCACAAGGGAGAGAACTGGCCGCCCACAGTTGCTCTTCATGGGGGCTGAGAAGTTCTTCCGTCAGGCCAACACAGATCACTTTAAAAGGGAATCTTCTCCTGGCTCCACGTATCTCAGATCCCTTATCAAGTGCGGGTGATGGAATGCGGTGGGGTTCATTCTTTGGCCATTAACATTTCCTGGTCCTGTGGGGCTATAAAGATGGGGAGAGTGTCAGGGTTTGCACTGAGAAAGGAAGAAGAGAGGGAGATCGGTGGCCATCGTAGAGTTGGAAGGGGCCTCAAGAATCATCTAGTCCAACCCCAACACCATGGGATTAGCAATTCCTTTCCTCCTTGTCCTGTTCTTCATTGGTGGTCAACTTGAAGGCAGAGCTGCCCACGGTTCAGAGCTAGCGGACCTCAAGGTAAGAGGAAGAAGACTGTTGTTGTTTAGTCGTTTAGTCGTGTCTGACTTCGTGACCCCATGGACCAGAGCACGCCAGGCACTCCTGTCTTCCACTGCCTCCCGCAGTTTGGTCAACCTCATGCTGGTAGCTTTGAGAACACTGTCCAACCATCTCGTCCTCTGTCGTCCCCTTCTCCTTGTGCCCTCAATCTTTCCCAACATCAGGCTCTTTTCCAGGGAGTCCTCATGAGGTGGCCAAAGTATTGGAGCCTCAGCTTCAGGATCTGTCCTTCCAGTGAGCACTCAGGGCTGATTTCCTTAAGAATGAATAGGTTTGAAGAAGACTAGGTAAAGGTAAAGGGACCCCTGAATATTAGGTCCAGTCGTGGCCGACTCTGGGGTTGCAGCGCTCATCTCACTTTATTGGCTGAGGGAGTCGGCGTACAGCTTCCGGGTCATTTGGCCAGCATAACTAAGCTGCTTCTGGCGAACCAGAGCAGCGCATGGAAACGCCGTTTACCTTCCCACCAGAGCGGTACCTATTTATCTACTTGCACTTTGACGTGCTTTCGAACTGCTAGGTTGGCAGGAGCAGGGACCGAGCAACGGGCGCTCACCCTGTTGCAGGGATTTGAACTGCCGACCTTCTGATTGACAAGTCCTAGGCTCTGTGGTTTTACCCACAGTGGACTAGCAGGGCTCTAATTTCAGGTTGGTTCGGACAACAGAGCTGAAGGATTGCATCCTATGCTAGTCCTACTCAGAGTAGACCCCCTCGAAGTTAATGGGCAAGGCTGACTTCTCCTGCAAGCTCCATGGATCTCAGCAGCCAGCTCCGCAGTAACTCAGAGCAGGGCTTTTAGTGTGGCCGCCCCTGTTCTATGGAATAGCATCCCGTTCAGAATACGACAGGCACCCACAATTTTCTGCACTTCCCCAAAACACCTGAAGCCATCTTTGTTCCTGTGGGCTTCCACAGCTGAATGATTTGGTATCTGTTTAGTGTTGTTTTTAAATTTATCTGCTTTTACTTTCCATGCTGATTCTAAACTGCTTTTATTGCATTCGGAACATCACCTTGAGACCTGTGTGTGTGGAATATAATTATAATTATTATGATTCTTACTAACAGCTACTTCTTCTTCTTCTTTGGCGATCCCTTGTAGCCGAGTAAGATTGTCTTCCACAAACACGGTTTTGACAGTGAGTCCGTAAGTGACCGTGGAGGCCCATTCTGGATCCACACGTCCTTCCACAGTGGGGACATAGGTTTCCAGGCAGGAGCTGATCACGGTGAGGGTTTGCTAGGAGTCCCTTCCTCTTTGCACATTTCTCCCTTTCATCCTGAGTTTGAGCATCTTCAAAGCCCATGACACCTTTGGTAAAGGCTGTTCTGCCATTGGAGCGCTCGCAGGCCAGTGTTTCCCAGTTGTCAGTGTTTATCCTACATTATTTTAGATTTGGCTTGAGAGGGTCTTTAAACCTCTTTTGCTGACCACCAGCATTACGCTTTCCATTTTTAAGTTCGGAATAGAGCAGTTGCTTTGGAAGACGACAATCAGACATCCGCACAACATGACCAATCCAACAGCTACTGCTATGTCCTAAGACCATTAATTTCAGAGGGTCTATTAGTGGTAAAACTTCGTTGGCTGCAACCCAGAGCAGTCCAGCAGTTCAGAGTGCCAAGCTAGGACTTGGGAGACCAGAGTTCAGATCCTGACTCAGCCACATGAAGTTCACTGGGCGACCTTGGGCCACATCACCAGCTTTCAGCCTGGTCTACTTTGCAGTGCTGTTGTGAGGACAATACAGGGAGCAGGAAAACCGTACATGTCTCCTTGCGCTCTTTGGAGGACAGATGGGATATAAAGCAACCAATACCTCAATGAACTAGATTATTCTACCCTTGAATCATTGCAGAATGATTCGTTCTCTGGCATCTCCAGGTAAGAATGGGAATGTCACCCCTCTGAAGCAATGGAGAGCTACTGCCAGTCAGTGTAGACAGTACTGAGCTAGATGAACCAAGGGTCTGATTTGGTACAAGGTCGCTTCCTAGGTTGCAGGGACGCGGGTGGCGCTGTGGGTGAAACCACAGAGCCTAGGACTTGCTGATCAGAAGGTCGGCGGTTCGAATCCCCGTGACGGGGTGAGCTCCCGTTGCTCGGTCCCTGCTCCTGCCAACCTAGCAGTTCGAAAGCACGTCAAAGTGCAAGTAGATAAATAGGTACCGCTCCGGCGGGAAGGTAAACAGCGTCTCCATGCGCTGCTCTGGTTTGCCAGAAGCGGCTTAGTCATGCTGGCCACATGACCCAGAAGCTATATGCTGGCTCCCTCGGCCTGTAAAGCGAGATGAGCGCCGCAACCCCAGAGTCGGTCACAACTGGACCTAATGGTCAGGGGTCCCTTTACCCTTTACCTTAACACAAGAACATAGGAAAGATTTTAAAATTGCCTAAAGTGGAGTCACACCCTTGGGTTCACCCAGCCCAGTACTGTCTGCCCTGACTGGCAGCGGCTCTCCAGGGATTCAGGCAGAAAATCTTTCCCAGCCCTACTGGGAGATGCCATCGAGGAGTTAAGCCTGGGACCTTCTGCATGCAAAGCAGGTATTCTGTTTCTGCTCTAGAGGGTCCCTCCTGCACAGGAGCTAGCTTTTGCTTGTTTGTTTTTGCAATCGTTTAGTCGGCAGAGCGTGAGACTCTTCATCTTAGGGTTGTGGGTTTGAGTCCCACATCGGGACTCTGCATTGCAGTGGGGCTGAGCTAGAAGACCCTCATAGTAAAGGTAAAGGGACCCCTGACCATTAGGTCCAGTCACGGACGACTCTGGGGTTGCGGCACTCATCTCGCTTTATTGGCCGAGGGAGCCGGAGTACAACTTCCGGGTCATGTGGCCAGCATGACTAAGCCGCTTCTGGCGAACCAGGGCAGTGCATGGAAACACCGTTTACCTTCCCGCCAGAGCAGTACCTATTTATCTACTTGCACTTTGAGGTGCTTTCGAACTGCTAGGTTGGCAAGAGCTGGGACTGAGCAATGGGAGCTCACCCCGTTGCGGGGATTCGAACCGCCGACCTTCTGATCGGCAAGTCCTAGGCTCTGTGGTTTAACCCACAGAGCCACCCATGTCCCACAGATGACCCTCATGATCCCTTCCAATTCTATGGTTCTTGTTCTCTTCCCCTCCCCACTCCTGTTTCCCAGGCCCTTCTGGAGCTCCTGGAAGACAGACTTGAATTCGGAGGAAAGGAGTCGGCGCTCGAACCCAATGACGAAACAGCCAGAGATGTTTCCCAGGCTTCTGCCACCTGGGACAACGAATACGCAAGGCCTCAGGGTGAAGGCGCCTTTGGCCCCAGCAGCTGGGAGCAGCCAGTGGCAAGAGAGCCGGCAGCTGCAAGGAACAAACTGAGAGCCCTTTTCAACTCTCCCCACAGCCTGCAAAGGTCCTCAAACTGCTTCGGCCAGAGGCTGGACAGGATAGGGACCTCAACTGGACTTGGCTGTAACAGGAACAGGGTAAGGGAACACAGAAAGGTGCCTGACATCGAGTCAGCCCATTGGTCGCTCTAGCGCAATGTTGCCTACACAGGCTGGCAGCAGCATTCTGAGATTTCAGTCAGAGTGTCTTTCTGGCTGGAGACTGAACTTGTGACATTCTGCATGCAGTGCAGGTGATCTAGGTCTGAGCTAAAGCCCTTTGGGTGTTGGGGGGGCACTTTGCAATAGCTATTCACTTGTTTATTAGTTATCCAACAAGATTTACATACACACCCTCTAGGCAGTTAGCAGAGCTGAAACAAAACATCAAAATCCTTGATAAGATCTCAGGGTGCTAAGGCATTGACAAAATTAAAATGAACTGCAGCTGAAAAGGTATAAAGTCCATGTGAGTGTTCCATGTGTCTGGATAGGCTTGTCTAAAGAAACTTCGAAGCGGAAAGGGGACAGTGATGTCAAGTGGCAGGGAGTTCCAAAGCTTTCAATTGCTGCCGTCCTAGAAGATGGATTTCTTACAAATGCAGAATGGGCATTAGGGGGCACCAGCTCCCCATCTGGTGCCCCTACAGCCTCTGTGTCCAGATCCCTTTGGATACGGAGGGTATTGGTGGGGTCATATTTGTAAAATACAAATATTGTATTTTAATATTTTGCTGGAAGCTGCCCAGAGTGGCTTGGGAAACACAGCCAGATGGGCCAGGTGGTATTATTATTATTATTATTATTATTATTATTATTATTATTATTATTTAGAGTAAATAATGGTATAGACAATAATGAGGAAAAGCCAGACAGCTTTAAAATAGCAAAAAGGAGTCGGATCCTGGAGTGCTTTGCAAGATAACTGTCAAAAGGCAGTTTTGAGGGAGGGTAGAAAAGATTTTTCCAGTTTATCATTTTATGATGCTTTCCTGCCCATCAATTTATTTCTTTTCCTGCCTTAACTTATAAACTCTCCCAACTCCAGGGCTTATCCCCACCCCTGCCACACCCCATGGTAACAGACAACTCTGCTTCAACACGGTGCTGTCGCTCCTAGTTGGCTTTGTAATAAATGTTGCTCTTTTATTCTCTCTCCCTTCTCGCAGAACTGAAGCTGATGCAAACCACCGTCTCCATCTTCCGTCTCCAACGACAACCAACTCCCCAGCCTTCCCCTGCCTCCATGGCACTTGAACCCTATTAAGGCACTCCCGACTACTCCTATCAAAGAATGCGCAACCTCCGTGGCATGCGGACAATTCACCGGCATTTTCTCACTTTCACCATGACTTAGTTCCCAGAGATCATCATGAGGACAGAAGGAGATGGGGTTCTACTTGTAACCCCACTGCAAGCTCTCAGGACTGGGAGGGAGGGAAATTGGACATTCCCCCTGCTTTGTAACATGAATTGGCTTCATTTCCTCAAACGCATGTGATCAAAAGCAGCAACTTGGATGCCCTTGCTCTGTTCAGGGATATAAAGGGGTTCAGCACCATGGAAAGAGACCATTTTGCCTGGTCTCTCAAGCCCCGGAACTGCCTTGTTCCCACACAGGATTTCCCACAATTTGGCAGTGGCTCTCCAGAAGATGTTGGGATGCCAGTTCCCGCTAGCCAGCATGGTTAATGGTCAGGGCTAATGGACACTGTGGCCCAACAACAGTGGGTTCCTAAGGTTGAGAAAAGCTTGTAGGTGTGGAAACATCTGAGCCTTCCTTGTGTCAGCTGCCAAACTGCTTCCCTCCCAGCGCAGAATGTAGGAGCTGTGCCAATGGTCCATCTAGCTCAGTATTGCATGCACTGACTGGCAGCAGCTCTCTAGGGTTTCAGGCAGGGAGCCTATGCCAGTTATTTTCTCAAGAGCCTCTTGCAACAGCTGCCATTCCTGATTTTTCATAAAGGACGCCCCCTGCCCAATATTCCAGGCACATTTCCTGCTGTTTGTTGTTTTAACCGCTGCATTAAATGGTGCATTTGCAGTGACAAAATCTGCGCAACCCTTGTATTATTACTTGCCTGTATATACTTGCGTTCTCTGGCGACTGCAGGTAAAAAGACCTCAAGGTTGGGAGTGATGCGAGACTCCTCTTCCTGAGATTTCACCTGGTCCTTGGAATGCTCCTCCCCAAACCACACCCCCTCTCCAAATAGGCCACACCCCATTCTACTCAGGCCACACCCCTTACAGACCCTGCTTTGTTTCTGCTGGGTTGCAATGTGTCCTTAAATGGTGATTATGCCTCTTGCTTGTCTGAATGGAGGATGAAGAGTGTAGAAAGCAGCCTACTGTACACATGGTAAAATTTACATTTGTTGCTCCATCTACTTTCATCCCAAGCCCACCTGTCCCTGGCATGTGGCCCTCAGTAGCCTGCCCAGAAAGAAATCTGGCCCTCAACTTGAAAAGGGGACCTCAGCCCTGCTTTATAATTAGAGACCCAATATTAGAGGCAGTGTACCACTGAATATCAAGTGCTGGGGGTCAACAGCTTGAAATAGAGAGTTGCCTTTGTTCTTGGCCTGCAAACTTCCCAGAGGCAGCTGGCTGCCCACTGACTTTCTTTAGGGCAAAGAGAGGGGATGCTATGTGAGATCAACACATTAGGAACACTGGAAGTCAGACAATTGGTCCATCCAGTTCGGAAAACCTTTCCCAGACCTGCCTGAGATTATAGCTGGGACCTCCTATAATAATAATAACTTAATATTTTTTTATTTATACCCTTATCCATCTGGCTGGGTTTCCCCAGCCACTCTGGGCGGCTGCCAACAGAACATTAAAAACACAATAAAACATCAAACATTAAAAACATCCCTAAACTGGGCTGCCTTTAGATGTCTTCTAAATGTCAGATAGTTGTTTATTTCCTTGACATGTGATGGGAGGGCGTTCCACAGGGAGGGCGCCACTACTGAGAAAGCCCTCTGCCTAGTTCCCTGTAACCTCACATCTCGCAGGGAGGGAACTGCCAGAAGGCCCTTGGAGCTGGACTTCAGTGTCCGGGCTGAACGATGGGGGTGGCGACGCTCCTTCAGGTATACAGGACCGAGGCCTTTTAGGACTTTCAAGGTCAGCACCAACACTTTGAATTGTGCTCGGAAACGTACCGGGAGCCAATGTAGGTCTTTCAGGACTAGTGTTATATGGTCTCGGCTGCCACTCCCAGTCACTAGTCTAGCTGCTGCATTCTGGATTCATTGTAGTTTCCGGGTCACCTTCAAAGGTAGCCCCAAGTAGAGCGCATTGCAGTAGTCCCAGCGGGAGATAACTAGAGCATGCACCACTATGTTCAAAGCAGGTGCTCTACAACTGAGCTATGGTCCTTCTGCTAACATGTAACACAAGATTCTAGTCCTCATGGCTCCGGGTAACAGGATGATTTAAACAGAACCATGGGAAGTTGTGTCATCCCATCAGTCGATCTAGCTCAATATTCTCTACACTGACTGGCAGAGGCTCTCAAGGTTTTCCATCTGCCAGGGATCAAAACCAGGTGCTCTAAGCAACTGAGCTACTGCTTTCTTCTATGTCCAGGTGGCCGAAGGAAACCAAGCAACTAGGAAAGTGATGCGCAACAGAAGCAAATAGTCATCACGAAAGATCCTCGAAGACAGATGTACGGGAGGAATTTAATTTATTTTTTTTCTTCCCCCCCCCCCCCCAAAGAGGATGGCCATGGTTAAACACTACAGGTGGTCAAACACAAATAATTATTATCTCACTCATTTTTTAAAAAAATAAAAAATAATAAATTATATACACAACAGAATTAATTCCCATCATTTGGTCACAAACACTCCCCTCAGGGAAAAAAATAAACACAAATTAGATTGAAGAAAACATTGAGAGGGTTTACCAGGGGAATGCACTGCGACATGGAGGAATGAGATAGGGGTTATGCCTTGATATGGCAATTTAATACTGTTTTAGAGACCAGAGTGGGCAGTGAAAAGGAGAACGCGTGAATATTTGCTCCAGATTTCTCTGCCCTGGGCTCAAGCTTAACACTGATCTGAGGGTTTAAGGGCCTTCTGTCTGTTTGGGAGTCTAGGCTTGACCAGGGGTGGGGGAAGAGAGAGAAGGGGTGGGTACCAAGCTTTGGCCAAGCCATCAGCAGACCTCAAGCAGTCTGGGGCGACCATTTCGGAAATGAGGGTTTGAGTGGCACATTTGAGACAGGGAGGCTAGCAAGTCTGCGTCACTGACTTTCAATCCGCCAGATGGAAAAAATCCTCTTGCAACGTGGGGCAAAAGTGTTGCTTTCTGGGCAAACCAGGTGTGGAGAACCTCTGGCCTTCCAGGCGGTTGCTGAACAGCAACCCCCCATCACCCCTGGCCATTTGCTTGGGCTTATAGTTCGTCAACATCTGGGGGGCGGGCAAAGGTTCCCCACATCTGTGGTAAACCCTTTTCTCCCCTATAGTTTAACTTCGCAAAATGAAAAGCATCAAGTAAAGATTCTGCCTGCTTCCTCCTCCTCCTCCTTTAAAAACCAAAGAGTTGGCGGGGATAGATGCTCCCAGAATTATTCGGGACGGACCTAGAAAAGCAAAACCTTTCCTGTTGCTTTGTTTTGGATAAGAGGCATTTGGCGGTGGTGGGAAGTGGTCAGCGCCAAATGTGTGCGGATGTTGGGCTACGCGCATTTTAAAAATGTGCATCTAACTAAAGGCAAGACATGCACACACACCTCAGCGAACTGCAGAGGGCACAGAGTTTGGCGGTGGCGGGCATTAATCGGCATAGATTCCATCCGTTCAAGACTCCCCCTGGTAACATAGGAACACAAAGCCATTGTTGCATGGGTCACACACACCCTTTTTTAAAAGCATAGTTGAATAAACTCAGAAGGCACGACCTGAAAGTAAGAGACGGAGAAAAGAGCGTCTATCGGAGGGAAGTGAATAGGCTGGAACCAAGCTCAGCTTAGGAACTGAAGTCTCGCCTTAAGCGATGGTTCTTTGGACAACAGCGTGGGAGCAAAAACTCACATGCCCCTCCCCTACCACGCACACCAACAAATGCACACCATCATGATATACCCCTTTCCCCCCAAACCCAAACACACACACACACCCTACAACCCCCCGCCCACAAAATTCCCCCTGCACAAAAATCTCAGCAATCTCAAGCCCACAAGAAGCCCAGCAATGAGAACAAGGGCATCACTTAGCAAGAAACCGAGACGCATTGCAGCTCTGTATCTTAGCTCCGCTAACAAGCCCCTTGTCGGCATGTGCAAGAACAGTGGAACTTTTCATCATGATAGGGAAGAAGAAGAAAGATCCCTTAGAGAGAGAGAGACAGAGAGAGCACAGCTGCCCTGTCAGGATAGCTGACACTCCTCAGGATAGGAGTCCTAAAGCCACTGGTTTCAAAATGAAGCATCGCTTGATCTGGGCATCGCCAGGATGCCAAAAACAAATAAATCGGCTCAAAACACAGAAATGTATTGTCAAGCTCCTTCGAGCCAACAGCTCTGGGGAGTTGGGGAAGACAGTCCTTAATTGGTTCGACATCTTACGAGATCGCAGTGAAGGAAGAAACCCGACACGTTCTGGGCAAGCTTTGCAGAGAAGTGGCAAAACAGCTCACTTAACTGGCTGTAAAGTCAAGATGTCAACGATGCTGCGGCTGTTAGGTGCCAGGCTGCTGGACTTCTGGGGGGGGGGAGAGGAGGCAGCCCCTTCCCTTTCACAAGGGGGCAGCACGAAAAATCACACATGCCGCCCCAACAAACCACAGACTTGTCATTTGGTGCGAACGAAATCTTCAACTCTCCCACTTTTTAACACGGCTTGCAGATCAATAAGTATCAGAGAGGTTCAAACTTGTGGCAACTTTTTTTTTTTTGGTAAGAGCTTAGCAATTTAAGAGTAGTAGTTGCCGTCAAGGACACAGGCTTAGGAAGAAAGTTGATTATGCCCCAGCTAAGAGAGAGAGAGATAATAATTTTAAAAAGTGGTTTGCAGGGCTGAGCTGATACCTGCTGCAACCAGAAAATGCCAGGGCCAAATTAAGGTTTAAAGATGTGGACTGCCCTCCTTCCTTCCTCCTCCTCAAGGGGTCAAAGGAATAAAGCAGTGGGTCTGAGAAGCAGAAAACAGCTGAAGTCTTTCAATGGATTTAGAGGGACAGAGAGGAGGACCTGGTTCTGATTTTCCTTCCCTTAAAAAAACAAAACCCCACACGTACCACCACACAATCACAAAGAGCTATGCAGAGACAGACTTTACACATTTTAAACACACATTGCACATTTACACACACACACACACACACACACACACACACAGCATTCTTGGTTCAAGGAGATGAAATCAGTACTCGAAAGCAGGCACTGTGTCCTACCCCCCAGCTACACCCCGGGAGCCCAAATGAACACATATAATTTCAGAAGACAGGAAACTGAAATGCCTGAATTAGTGTCACTGGCGGCACAGAATGGTTTAAAAGAGGGAGGGGTCCACAAACACAGGGTTGCATCCAGCTGAGAGTAGACCCACTGAAATTCACAGGCCCGAACCTAATAATTTCAGCAGGACTACTTGTAAGTAAAACTAACATTGGAGACAGCCCACGTTTTGGTTTTAAAGACACCGACAAGGTTGTGATGGGGTGAGACGCTCGAAGCGATTCCTTCCCTGCCTGCCTTGTGGCACAGAACAGGTTTTAACAGGTGGGGTTACATGGAAGGAGGATTTTGTTTTATTTTTGTGGCGGGGGGGCAGGCAGAGCTGTAGGGGTCCTTTTCTTGGAATGCATTTTCTCTCCGGCTGTTCGGCCTGGGAAGAAAAAACCTGCAAAATCCACACTCCACGACTGTGCTTTATCAAGACCATCAGCATGAGGGCTGTCACCTTTCCAAACCGGAGAGATTTAGCAGAAGCAAGAACAGGGGGGAAAAACCTTCAGAGGCAGGAGTCCGCTGGAATAACTGCGAAGGGGGCAGCCGAAATGGGGCTTGCGAGAAGCCCCAGACCAGCCTGGGCTGGCTTGAGGTGACTCTGCAATTACATGAACTCTCTCAAGTGCTCCTGGAACTGCTGCAGATAGTCCCCCCCACTCCCCCTTTGCAAAAATAAATAAATCCTATTTTGGTCCTGGACTGGGTGTCACAACTGCAACTTTTCAAGACTTGCTAGCTAAAGGGAAGTCTTTCTATGAAAACTGGATTCTCAGGGATACCCCCTGGAGATCTACTGTTTGGAGGACAGAATTCCCCAGCAGTCCTTACGATCACTTGCAGGAGGAAGGGAAAGATTGGAGATCTGCCGTGGGGTGTGTGGGTGTCAAACAAACCCAACCAGACATGTCACGGGCAGATTTGAGGGGACATGGCAGGGCCACGCTGCAGATTGGCGCCTCTGTAGCAACAGAGCTGTTGTCCCAATAGATGTGACCTGCTCATGTTTGCTTAGGGAATTGCTGCTAGATGCCTAGCGCATGCAGGAGAAAACCTTTAAACACTCCAGAAATATATTTAAGTTTGGTTTTCTCTACAGTGGCAGCAGCCTGGTATGGAGCGACCAGCCGGTGGCAGTTTAAGGGGCTGAGACAGGTAGGAATTACGGGTGCCGATCACCAGTGGGTTTGATTAGGGGAAACTTTCACCAATGAGCTTGACTTTCCCTGCAAAATGTCTGCGGCAAGGTGCCAGCCAGCCACCCACAAGGCAAGTGAGATTCTTCTCAGTGATGCTGAACCGCTACCGGCCATCAAGCCTACTGTGTACTGGAAACCCTTCAGGCAAACTGGTTCAGCTCCACTCCCAATGTCTCTCTCCCTCAAGAGCGGGGTTTTGCCCTCCAGAGGCCACTGGACTCCCAACTCCCATCAGCCCCGGGGCCAAGGATGATGGGAGTTGTAGTCCCAACATCTGGAAGGCCACAGGTTCCAACCCTCTGCTCTAAAGCTTCTATACTACAATGCCAACCTAAGATGGCCCGGGAAGAGATAATTTGAGGCCCCAATGTCCAATTCAGGGTGCTGACTTATTCTTTTAAAAAATTAAGCCTTTAGAGAGCTAGGAGACCCGAATCTGTTCTGTATGCACACACCTGCTCCATCTAGGACTTCAAGGCAGGGTTGGTGACTCTGTGACTCTTCAGGTGCTGGACTACAACTTCCAGCAGCCAGTAGTGGTCAGAGGTGATGGGAGTTGTAGTCCAGCAATGCCTGGAGGGTTGTAGGTGCAAGCAAACCCACGGCACTCCAGCTGCCAAACCCCTGCAAAACTGACCCATGCGGCTTTCCTCACACTCACAAGAGGCAAATGCTGCCTTTCACTAACACACACAAACACACCCCAACATACACTTACTTTCAGTGGCACGATTGTTCGTTCCCTTCCATATGCACCTATAACTTCCCCCCCCCCCAAAAAAAGATAATTAAGGATCAAGGGTTTGATTCACTCAAGTGGAGACTTTCCCCCACCCCCAAACATCAAGGATCCCAGCCTCTAGCCGAGAAAAAAACAACTCAAAAGTGCAGTTAAGTGGAATGAAAATGAAAATTCTACCCAGAGTCTCCAGTAAAAAAGAAAAGAAAAACGTGTCTCTTCTGCTTAGCCTTACTGAAACTACGAATGCGAAATAGGAGGAAATTGCTGGCCCAAGCTTGACATATAGCGGCTACGTGCTGCATTGGTCTTCTGAGTCTTTCGAGATGGTTAACACCTGGTTTTAGGATATAAGGCAAGGAGAGGAGAAAAGAAAAGGACAGGTGTTCCTTCCATCTGGAATATGGCATAGATATGAATCATGTCGGCGGGGCGGTGAAATGTCGGGACGATGCTGATCGGAAGCCAATCGGGGCAGCAGGTGAGCGAGCCCCTAAGATTAGCCGGCAAGCGTTCAGACCACAACTCCCAGAGTCTTCCAGCTCCCCCCAGTGAGAAAGAAGCCGGTCCGCTTTTGTTGCCTTTAAAGTGCACGAAGGTGACCCGGGGGCCACGCGAGATCCGAAGCGGCGGCTTGGGAGGCGGGAGCGGAGGGGTCAGATGGTCCGGTAGTGCTGTCGTAGCCTGGCCTGCAGGAATTCGTGGGTCAGGTTGTGGCGCGTGATGATGCCAACGATCTGCGAAGAGGCGGCGGGAGAAAAAGAGGGCAGGGTAAACCAACGTTACGGAGGCGGCTGGACCAGAGAAAAGGCCCATCTTGTCCATCTTTTAGTGTGGCAGCATCTACACAGTGGAACTCCCTGCCTATTGATACCAGGCATGCGCCTTCGCTCTTTTCAGCCCTTGCTAAAAACGTTTTTGTTTAGACAAGCCTTCCGGTAACTTTGTTTTATTCTCTTTGTAAACTGCTTTAAGTTTTTATTCTTTCTTTATTTTTTTGTACAATCAAGCAATGCATATATTTTATTAAATAAACAGTCCAGCAGCCCATGACCTGAAGACTGCAACGTGCTCTCTGTACAGCTGCCCTCAGGCCTGGTCTGAACTCTCCAGACATGGAAGTTCTGAACACGGAAGTTCTAATTTGCCAGTGCGAGAGCATTTTGCCTAGAAAGATAGAGACAGTCGTACCTTGGAAGTCGAATGGAATCCGTTCCGGAAGTCCGTTTGACTTCCAAAACATTCGAAAACCAAAGTGCAGCTTCTGATTGGCTGCAGGAAGCCCCATCGGACGTTCAGCTTCCAAAAGCAGTTTGCAAACCGGAACAGTCACTTCCGGGTTTGCGACGTTCGAGAGCCAAATCGTTCGGGAATTAAGCTGTTCGACTTCCAAGGTACAACTGTAAATGCATCTGGCCCTCCCTCCGTGAATCTGAACTATGTTGTCTGAGGCTTGTGGGAACTGCAGCCCAAAAGACCCAGAAGACAGGCAGACTTATGCCTCCTAACACCTGCTAGCTCACTGCAGGATAACCTAGTGCATTGTGGCATATTATTCTATTGTGGTATATTATTCAGAATAGTGGTTTGCATGACCCACTAAGATAAAGGTAAAGGTAAAGGGACCCCTGACCATTAGGTCGAGTCGTGGCCGACTCTGGGCTTGCGGCGCTCATCTCGCTTTATTGGCTGAGGGAGCCGGCGTACAGCTTCCGGGTCATGTGGCCAGCATGACTAAGCCGCTTCTGGTGAACCAGAGCAGCGCACAGAAACGCCGTTTACCTTCCCGCCAGAGCGGTACCTATTTATCTACTTGCACTTTGACGTGCTTTCGAACTGCTAGGTTGGCAGGAGCAGGGACCGAGCAACAGGAGCTCACCCCGTCACAGGGATTCGAACCGCCGACCTTCTGATCGGCAAGTCCCAGGCTCTGTGGTTTAGACCACAGCGCCACTCGCGTCGCTACTAAGGAAGATAGCAACACAATAAAACAGTTAATTGCACATTTCCTCAAAATTCAATAAAATATATTTTGTTTAATTAATTCAACAACATTGTTAAGCTTGATCTAAAGGTACCAGCTTTTCAGAGTCTGATCGTCATTTATATCTCCAGCAACCCCCTAGGTAATCCCACCAACCCCCATGGGGCAGTACTGCCCACGTGGAGGACCCACTCCTTGGGAGAGCCGCCCAGTCTTTTGCCTCCATACATCTGCTAGCAGTTTATGCCAGGATCATCTAGCTCAGGGTTTCCCAAACTTGGGTCTCCAGCTGTTCTTGGACTACAACTCCCATCATCCCTAGCTGGCAGGACCAAGGGTCAGGGATGATGGGAACCGTAGTGCAAAAGCTGCCGGAGACCCAGGTTTGGGAAACATTGATAGCTCAGCATACTACAAACTGACCTCCTATGCTCTGCACTATACGTTGGGATTGTTTGTTCTAGAGCACAGCAACATCTAGTGGCGGTTATTAGGCAGACGCATTTGCCTTAAAGCTCTGGATCAGGCATCCCCAAACTCGGCCCTCCAGCTGCTTTGGGACTACAATTCCCATCATCCCTGACCACTGGTCCTGTTAGCTAGGGATGATGGGAGTTGTAGTCCCAAAACAGCTGGAGGGCTGAGTTGGGGGATGCCTGCTCTGGATTCTCCAGCAAGACGGCCTCTGGATTTTAAACTCTTGGCACAAACCTAACTAGGTGGGAGAGGAAGTCATGGGAGAAAAGTTACACCCAGACCCAGTTGCAAAATTCTTCCCAAAGACAGTATGTACAGGTTAAACTCACCTCCCCAACAGCATTCACTACGGGCAAATGCCTGAGCCCCATCGTCCGGAAGAGGTTGAAGACTTGCGAGACGTGAGTATTGGGCGAAACCGTGAAAGGGGAGGGATTCATGTAAGGTGTGATGTCCTGCCAGAGGAGTTAAGCAGACACGGGGGAAGGTCATCAAAAACAACCCAGCAATAATGCAGCAAGAAGCACTTTTGTAATAAGCTAAGGAGAGCCGGCTGGATCAGACCAATAGCCCATCTATTATTATTTTTGCCTGTTTATGTATTATTTTTTATTTTGTACTTTTCAAGTTTATACGTTTCACTGATTTTACAATCATTCTGACATTTCAAAACTTGACTTCCTTCCCCCACTTTCTGCGGTTCCTTAAATTTGTTTTTAGTATCTTCTGCGTATCCAAATTAACTTAATTGGCTCATTTATTCTTCTTCTCTAAATATATACTCTTATGAATCTGCAGGTTATTACAATAATCCTGCCAATGCTCGTATCTGTTTATAATTTATCTGCAACTATTCAATAAACCATTTCCATTCTTTTATTTTAAAAACTGTTATCTTGATTTCCTATTTTTCCAGCAAGTTTTGCCATTTCAGGATATTCCATAAGTTTTTGTATGCATTCTTCCTTTGCTGGGACTTCTGCTTCTTTCCACTTTGGGGCAAGTAACATTCTTGCCACTGTAGTAGCATACATGAATAAGTTTCTATACATTTTAGGAAGTTCTGTCCCTAGAATTCCCAAAAGAAAAGCTTCTGGGTTTTTTTTTTTTTAAAAAAGGTTATTTTAAACACCCTTTTCATTTCGTTATATATAATTTCCCAGGAAGCTTTAATCTTACCACAAGACCACCACGAATGATAAAAAGAACCTTCTTTCTCTTTACATTACCAACACATCTTTGATTTAGATTTATACATTCTTGCCAGTTTACTCCGTGTTAAAAGTAAAGGGTCCCCTGACCATTAGGTCCAGTCGTGGCCGACTCTGGGGTTGTGGCACTCATCTCGCTTTACTGGCCGAGGGAGCCGGCATACAGCTTCCGGGTCATGTGGCCAGCAGGACAAAGCCGCTTCTGGCGAACCAGAGCAGCGCACGGAAACGCCGTTTACCTTCCCGCCGGAGTGGTACCTATTTATCTACTTGCACTTTGAGGTGCTTTCGAACTGCTAGGTTGGCAGGAGCAGGGACCGAGCAACGGGAGCTCACCCCATCGCGGGGATTTGAACCGCCGACCTTCTGATCGGCAAGTCCTAGGCTCTGTGGTTTAACCCACAGCACCAACAGCGTCCCCTACCAAATCAATACCCAACAGTAAAAGCAGTTGAGGTGACCCACGACACATTTTACACTGGGTTTTCACTTGTCCTACCCAGGGATGTAGTCAGTGCCTTCTGATCGGCAAGTCCTAGGCTCTGTGGTTGAACTCACAGCACCACTGATATATCATTTTCAGGGGGAGAGGGCTCTTGGGTTCGAGTCCTGCTTGTGAGTCTCCCCCAGGATGATGGACTAGATGGTCCACTGGCCTGGTCCTTCAGGGCTCCTGTTATGTTCTTATGTGTTTACCAGCCAGCTAGTTCTTTGTCCCATTTCCTGCCACTGCTGCAATCTACCAGTCCGCTTGCGGAAGCCGCTTCCCCAGAGAGATAAACAAAAAGGGGAACATTTATTTGATTTAGACATTTTTGCCAATTTCCTCGGTGTTTGGTACCATCTAACGCAATAGCCCATCTAGTCCAGCATTCTGTTCTCAATGTGGCCCAATGGAAAACTTGCAAGCAAGAGCCCTCTGCACTCCTCTGGTTTCCAGCCGCAGCCTCTGACCATGGAGAAAGAGAACAGCCATCGTGGCTGGTAGCTACTGATAGCTTGACGCTCCACAAATTTGTGCAAGCACACCCTCTTGCCCTTACCACAATCATCCTGGGGTTCAGAAGCGTGAGGTCCAGATCGTGGATGTCGGGATAGCGAGGGTAATCTTCCGCCATCTCGCCGTATGAAAGGCGAGGCTGGCTGGTGCTCTGGAAGGCAAATCTCAGTCAGGCAGACACAGATCAAAGCCTACGGTGTATCAAAAATGGAGGAGAACAGGAAATCCTGGACTGTGAATTTCTATTGCAAGGGAAGCTGGGGGGAAACTGGGGCAGGACCACTGTCCTCTAGGGTCCTGGGAGGGAATTTCTGATCTTTGAAGGAGAAGAGTCGTCCCCACTTATGCTGTTGATTAAATAAATAACTAAATCAGAACAGTGTACCAATAACAGTACAATAAAACTACAGTCATACCTCGGGTTAAATATGCTTCGGGATGAATATTTTCGGGTTGCGCTCCACGGCGACCCGGAAGCAACAGAGTGCGTTGCTTCCGGATTTCACCGCTAACACATGCACAGACACTCAAAATGATGTCACGTGCATGCACGGAAGCGGCGAATCGCAACCCGCGCACACGCAGATGCAGGTTGCGTTCGCTTCGGGATGCAAACGGGGCTCCAGAACGGATCCCGTTTGCATCCAGAGGTACCACTGTACATAAAAAAGTTAAAATCAGATTATGCAGTGCAGAGGCACACATGTCATTCATAAGCTACTCCCAATGAGCTGAAAGAAAGAACAGCTCTTTTAAGATAAAATTTGGGTTCTAGTTTGTCCTCTATGGATGTTTCAAACATATCAAGACAGGACAGGAGAGGAATTTTCTTGGGGAAACTCAATAAAAAATGTTAATCGTTTAAATAAATAAAGGACAAATATCCACTGGGGAGGGGGGGCCAGGAACATGGGGATCTTTTCCCTTCAGGTGCAGGTGAGAAGGGACACCTCTTGTCAGGGACGCTGTCAATGCAAGGTCTCTTCCACACTACATGATAACGTCGCCCCAAGCCGTTCGCAGGCCCAAGTAATCCAATGAGCGGAACCAACTCACCGACTGATTCTCCGCGTAACAGACTCCTCGCACCAGCAAGGTGACCAGCTGCGAGCGCAGGATGAGGCCGTGGAAGGTCAGGGGCCGGAATCGCTCCTCCATGGTCCACTCTTCGCTGGGCGATTGGTCCGGGTAAAGGTTAGGATATGGGGTGTACCTGGGATGGGGGAGGGGAGTCGATCAGGTAACATACAGGTAATTATTGAGCAAGAAATTCTGGAGATGGATTGCAGGGGTGCCTGCAGGAAAAAGGAGACGACTCAGGCCAGCCAACCAGTCAGCCCCTGAAACATTTGCACGCTCTCATTAGCTCCCTAAGTGTCTGGCATTGAGATGAAAAACTCACTGGCCTGGCACCTGCTAGATGCTTTAGACCAGTGTTTTTCAACTTTTTTTGGGCAAAGGCACACTTGTTTCATGAAAAAAACCACGAGGCACACCACCACTGTGTGTGGAGAGGGAGATGTCAGAGCCCCGCTGCTCTCTATGGGGAATCGGATGAGAGCGGACCGCCTGTCCGCTCTCATCAGATCCCATCCGATCTGATCCCCACCCAGGACGGATGGAAAATAGGGTGGACACAGTCCGGCGTCCTCCTAGTGGGCGAAAATTTGACATTTTTTTTTTAAAAAAATCTTTCGAATTTTTCCCATGGCACACCAGGCAACATCTCGCGGCACACTAGTGGTTGAAACGCACTGCTTTAGACTACAGTAGTACCTTGGTTCTCAAACTTTTTTTTTCCAAGTAAATTATTATCATTTTCTTTACATATTCTTTTTCCAACAATCCTTGCTGTTACCATATGTCCCCTTTGACTCTCCCTCCCTCCCTGCAATTGGTATATTTTTCCCATTCTTATCACGCACATTATTCTTGTATCACTGATGTTTTACATTGAAAGCATTATTCCAGTCCGGCTAGCGTCTTTACGTTTTTATAGTTCTCCTTTAAATATTCAATAAATTTACTCCAATTGTTCTTGTACCTCTGGTCTTCTTGATCCCGGATCCTCCCTGTCAATTTGGCAAGTTCCGCAAAGTCTGTCATCTTCACCTGCCACTCCTGGATGGTTGGTATATTTTGTGTTTTCCATTTTTGGGCCAGTAGGGTTCTTGCGGCGGCCGTGGAGTACATGAACAAGTTCTGGTCTTTTGTTTTAATTTCCCTTCCCATTAGACCTAGCAAAAACTTAGACCTAGCAAAAAGTACCTTGGTTCTCAAACTTAATCCATTCCAAAAGTCCATTCCAACACCAAAGCGTTCCAAAACCAAGGTGCACTTCCCCATAGAAAGTAATGCAAAGTGGATTAATCTGTTCCAGCCTTTTATACAGTGGTACCTTGGGTTACATACGCTTCAGGTTACAGACTCCACTAACCCAGAAATAGTGCTTCAGGTTAAGAACTTTGCTTCAGGATGAGAACAGAAATCGTGCTCCGGCGGTGCGGCAGCAGACTCCATTAGCTAAAGTGGTGCTTCAGGTTAAGAACAGTTTCAGGTTAAGAACGGACCTCCGAACGAATTAAGTACTTAAGCCAAGGTATAACTGTATAACGAGTTGAAAAAAATGTTTAAAATAACTTTTTCTTAAAAAAACCTGAAGCTTTCCTTTCAGGAATTCTAGGTGCCGAAATCCCAAAGGAGCAGAAAAGACTCTTTATGTATGTGACCACGGTTGAAGGGATGTTATTGGCCCAGAGATGGAAAGAAGATAAAATCCATACCATAGAAGAATGGCAGATCAAGTGGATGGATTATGCCAAAACGGCTAAAATGACCGGAAGAGTCAGAAATCAAGAAGAACAAAATTCTAATAAGGAATGGGGAGAATTTATAACTTATCTTAAAAACTATTGTGAACAGTTAAAGTCGTTAGTAGGATTGGAATATCACTTGTAGTTTAAGGGTGAATTTTCGACACAATGGAGAGATAAAAGACTTGGATTGTCATAAAAGATGCAGGAGGAAATGATTAATAACAGGACCCACAAAGGGGAGGAGGGAAGTCCAGGAGATTCCTTGGAATCTGATTTATATGTTGTATATCTTTGACTGTAAAACTTTAATTTGGAAAACCAAATAAATTTTTTAAGGAATGTTGCACTCAGCCTGAAAGAGATGCCCCCCCCCCCCCCCCGGTCCTGTTCTGTGTTTGCTCACCTCCGCTCCAGCATCTGCTGCAACATGTCCTCTGTCTCCGGAGGCTCCTCCGTCGCGATGTGGTCGTCACAGACGTTGCGAAGCTCGCTGGATGGGTAGGACTTCATGGACTGGCTGCGTTTACGCTGCTCGCCGGCCCGGGTGAGGATGCTGGATTTCTGGCAAAAATAAACCGCCACTGTTTCATCACGTCTATCGTTACTGACTTCCAAATGGAATTTGAAAAACATTCCTCTTTCTCCTGGGCCGTGTCCAGAAAGTGGTGCTGGGGGATGAGTGTTCAGACCCCTGGGCTCTCACTTGTGGGGTGCCTCAGGGTTCTGTCCTCTCCCCCATGCTTTTCAACATCCAGCCGCTGGGAGAGATCGTCAGGGGGTTTGGGCTGGGTGTTCATCAATATGCAGATGACACCCAGCTCTACCTCTCCTTTAAATCAGAACCAGTGAAGGCGGTGAAGGTCCTGTGTGAGTGCCTGGAGGCGGTTGGAGGATGGATGGCGGCTAACAGATTGAGACTGAATCCTGACAAGACAGAAGTACTGTTTTGGGGGGACAGGGGGCAGGCGGGTGTGGGGGATTCCCTGGTCCTGAATGGGCTAACAGTGCCCCTGAAGGACCAGATGCGCAGCCTGGGAGTCATTTTGGACTCACAGCTGTCCATGGAGGCACAGGTCAAATCTGTGTCCAGGGCAGCTGTTTACCAGCTCCATTGGGTACGCAGGCTGAGACCTTATCTGCCCACAGACTGTCTCGCCAGAGTGGTGCATGCTCTGGTAATCTCCCGCTTGGACTACTGCAATGCGCTCTACGTGGGGCAACCTTTGAAGGTGACCCAGAAACTACAACTAATCCAGAACGGGGCAGCTAGACTGGTGACTGGGAGCGGCCGCCGAGACCACATAACACCGGTCTTGAAAGACCTACATTGGCTCCCAGTACGTTTCCGAGCACAATTCAAAGTGTTGGTGCTGACCTTTAAAGCCCTATACGGCCTCGGTCCTGTATACCTGAAGGAGCGTCTCCACCCCCATCGTTCAGCCCGGACACTGAGATCCAGCGCCAAGGGCCTTCTGGCGGTTCCCTCATTGCGAGAAGTAAGGTTACAGGGAACCAGACAGAGGGCCTTCTCAGTAGTGGCGCCCACCCTGTGGAACACCCTCCCTTCAGATGTGAAGGAAATAAGTAGCTATCCTAAAAGACATCTGAAGGCAGCCCTGTTCAGGGAAGTTTTTAATATTTAACGCTATATTGTTTTTAATACTTGATTGGGAGCCGCCCAGAGTGGCTGGTGAAACTCAGCCAGATGGGCGGGGTATAAATAATAAATTATTATGATTATTATTATTATTATTATTAGGCACTGGGTGGCCGAGGAATTAATACAGTGGTACCTCAGGATGCGAATGGGATCCGTTCCGGACCCCCGTTCACATCCAGAAGCAAATGAAACTAGCAACAGCACGTCTGCACGCACACGTGTCGCTTTTCGCCGCTTCTGAGCATGACGTCATTTTGAGCATCTGCGTCTGCGCATGCGCTCCGTTACTTCCGGGTTGCTGCAGAGCGCAACTCAAATACGCTCAACATGGAGCATATTCAACCCAAGGTATGACTGAACCACGAGAATCATGCGAGTTGTAGAGTTGTAAGGGAACGCATCTAGTCCAACCTGCCTCATACCAATGGGCAGGGAGTTCCAAAGATCTAGGTGCTGCCATACTCAACAAAAGCACTCCATTTATTCCCCACAAGGAACTCCGCGCCGGAACACACCTTGAACTTGATGTTGTTGCTGATCAGCTGGTCCCACTTCATGAACTCCCTCTCGTACGCCCGGTTTTCGGTCACCACCGGGAAGGCGTGGTGAACCGTCGTGCGCAAGATGCTCACGAGGGACTGGATTCGGGTGTGGGGGTAAACGTACATCAGGTTGGGTTCCATTATGTCGCTGGCTCTCAGCCTGGGGAACATCAGAAAGAAGCATGCTTGAGAGTTGCACACACACGCATGCACAGAGAGCAAGCAATTTTAACACAGGACAACTTAAAGATTGTTGAAATCGGGGACTGACTTGTCCATTTCTGCCTTGGTTTCCCACTCGAGAAGTGGCACCCCTCGCAAGTTGACGTAGATGTCGTAGATACCCTTGTTGAAGAGGTCTCCAGTCCATTTGGCTACCTGGAAAGAGAAGGATGAGGAGCTGGTACAAGAAGCTCCTACACACGAGAAAAACCTCCAGATTAGACCACAGCAATGCGTTCTACACGGGGAAGACCTTGGAGACGACTTGGAAACCTCCATTGGTTTTCACAATGGCCAGACTGCTGGCTGGAGCTCCCTTGAGATCTCATATAAGGTAAAGGTAAAGGAGCCCTGGACGGTTAAGTCCAGTCAAAGGCAACTATGGGGTTGTGGCGCTCATCTCGCTTTCAGGCCGAGGGAGCCGGCATTTGTCCACAGACAGCTTTCCGGGTCACGTGGCCAGCAGGACTAAACCGCTTCTGGCACAACAGGAAACTGTGATGGAAGCCAGAGATCAAAGAAACGCCATTTACCTTCCCACCAGTGGTACCTATTTATCTACTCGCACTTTGACGTGCTTTCGAACTGCTAGGTTGACAGGAGCTGGGACCGAGCAATGAGAGCTCACCCCGTCGTGGGTATTCGAACCGCCAACCTTCTGATCAGCAAGCCCAAGAGGCTCAGTGGTTTAGAGCACAGTGCTACCCGCGTCGCTTCTAGATCTCATAGAAGCCATTTTAAAGCACCTACAGTGGTTGCCAGTTCATTTCTGAATTAGGGAGTTCTGCACTGCGAAGTCCTCAGGGTAGCTGAGGAGGCTTTCTGTCTAGCAACCCTCATTTTGTCAATCTGTGGTCTGATGCAAACCGCACCTACAAAGGGGCTTGGCACAACTGCCGATGTAGCTCCACGGGGTGGTAGTGGAGGATCATAGAACTGGAAGGGATCCCAAGGGTCATTGAATCCAACCCCCTCCAATGCAAGTATCCCAACACACAGTCCCCCATCCAATTTGAAACTGTACCAAACCCTGCTTAGCTTTGCAATTGCGCTAGCCGTTGGAAGATTCGGTGCCGCTGCTAAGAGGCTCACCATAAGCGTGATCATGATGGGGAGCCCGTAAGTGATCTCGTTCGTGGACTCGATCAGGATGACGGTGAGGCTGATTGTCATGCGCACCACCCCTCCCAGGAAGGCAGCTGCCCCGATCAGGGCAAAGGTCCCCGAGTAGATGTGGTCCAGGCCAATGTAACTAGGGGAGAGAAGACAAGTCGGAGGGTGTCAGGATGCAGTGGAGACAAGCAGGGAGGGTCTGGGGAGAGAGGGAGGGGGGTCCTGCCCCGTAGCGCCATGCGCGAAGCAGAGGAGGCACCTTTTGAGGAGGTTGGCCACCAGGCGTCCGAAGGCAGCCCCGCAAAGCAGCGACGGGACAAAGAGGCCGCTGGGCACAGAAATCCCATAAGTCCAGCAGGAAAGGAGGAAATAGAGGAGGAAGAACAGGGAGAGGGTGACTGGGCTGAAGGTACCTGCAAAGACAACAGGGAAAGAGGCTTGGGTGGCAGCCCGCAGGAGCCCCGCCCACTGACACGAGAGGCCACGTCCCAGTCAGGAAGAGCTCTTCCCCCTGCCCCAAAAGAAGCACCCTGCCCACAGAAGCCGTCTTACAGCACTCCGGTTATTCTGAGTGGCTGGGGAAAGAGGCGGTTTAAGTGGCAGCCAGCGGGAGTCCCGCCCACTGAAGTAAAAGGCCATGCCCCTTTCAGCAAGAGCTTTGCCGCCCCAAGAAGACTCCCACCCACAGAAGCCATCCCAAGGCACTCAGGTTATTTCAATACTGGGCGTTTATCGCTCCACAGGAGGTCTGGAGAACATTCAGGGCCTCATATGGTGTCAGGAGTCCAGCACCTATCGTACCCTTCCCACTAGAGCCCAGCAACTTCCGGGGGACCCTCAGGTGTTCCCCAGACCCTTCTATATAAGGACGAGCATTTGGTTTTGTTTTCTAAATCCCTGGAGTCAGGTGGGAGAGGGTCCTATGTAAGGCTCTGTGAGAAATTGCCCCGGAAACATTCTCTGCTCTGGGCAAAAGACAGACACCCAAATCTTGCCCTGAAAATTGCAATGTTTTATTGGTAACTGTGCCTACCTATCTCCAGATCAGCCTTCTCAATGACCCCATCTCAATTGTGAGCTTCTAAAAAGCAGTTTTTGCTCATGAGAAGAAAAGCTTCTTAAGTTCTTCTTGATCCCTCTCTCCTATATTCAAGTGTGTACCAGCACAGTTACCTTCCGTTCCCTTGTAAAAAATTGCAGAAAGGGTATCATTCACACCACCTGCCATTCCCTGCCATTATCTTCAGCCTTGATCAGCTATTACCCAAGGATTTGGTAAAGTCTCTGTGTGTATGTGAATATGTATGTGGACTGAGAGCACCCGCAAGTGGACACAGGTGGTACTGCCGTGGCGACAAAATCCTAACTTTCAGAAGAGCTGTTCTAGGGCGGTCCACGGCAGTTCTGCTTCACTAGCTTACAGACTCACTGGACATTACCGTAGATTCCAGCGTATAAGACAACTTTTTAACCCCGGAAAAGAGGTTAAAAAGTCAGGGGTCGTCTTATACACCGGGTAGCAGCAGCAGCGGGCAGCGGACTCAGCTCCGCGCTGGGCGGCTTTCTCCTGACGTGGAGCTGCCCGGCATATTAGGCAACTGGGCTTATAAGACAAATCCCCAAATTGCAGCTGCCAATTTGGGGGATCATCTAATATGCCCAGTCGCCTAATACGCTGGAATCTACGGTATATGTAAGTTACTAGCAACTCCAATAGTCTAGTAAATCCACAGTAGCAATGGTAGCTCTTCTTGACACAATAAGTCTGTATGCTAGTGAATTAGTAGTACAGTGGTACCTCAGGTTACAAACACCTCCGGTTACAGACTCTGCTAACCCGGAAGTAGTACTACGGGTTAAGAAGTTTACCTCAGGATGAGAACAGAAATCGCATGCTGGCGTTGCGGTGGCAGCAGGAGGCTCCATTAGCTAAAGTGGTACCTTAGGTTAAGAACAGTTTCAGGTTAAGAACGGACCTCTGGAACGAATTAAGTTCGTAACCAGAGGTACCACTGTAAGGCTACTCATCTAGCTGATTAATAGCAGCTCTGCTTTATGTATAACGCCCAGTAAGTTGTTAAGATAAAGTACTAGTCTAGTAAACAGTAAGTAACAGCAGCGGCTGTCCAATAGGAAGTTTAATAGATAAAACAAGAGCTGAAAAACAAAACTAATGGGAGATGTTGCAGTGTAGAGTCAGCCATGACAACCCCACTACTTCTCAGCTAGCCAGAATCCTGTTGGTCCTCCTTGTGCTATTTTGGGGTATTCTGCCTGAGAATTACCATATTTTTCGCTCTATAAGACGCACCAGACCACAAGATGCACCTAGTTTTTGGAGGAGGTAAACAAGAAAAAAAATATTCTGAATCCCAGAAGCCAGAACAGCAAGAGGGATCGCTATGCAGCGAAAGCAGCAATCCCTCTTGCTGTTCTGGCTTCTGGGATAGCTGCGCAGCCTGCATTCGCTCCGTAAGACGCACACACATTTCCCCTTACTTTTCAGGAGGGGAAAAGTGAGTCTTATAGAGCAAAAAATATGGTATTTCCCTGAATATTTTATGCTTTTACAATCCTTGGGGTTCTCCCCACAAAACCCCCACCTGTGAATCCTTCCTCTTGGGCATGGATGATGCTGTGCATTGGTCCCGTCCCCCCTTTTGGCTACAATGACACTCACAGCCTGAGCACCCAAAAATATCCAGGGTGTGGTTTTCAAGAAGCCAGCAGCAGCCTTTTTCGCTGCTCTGCCAGCATGCCCTCTGGGTTCCTCACAGCGACCACTCACCCTCCTGGTGGAAAAGCTGCAGGATGGCAGACTCCTGAGGGTTAAAGAAAAGGGTTGCCATGTCGTTGTAAGTGTCGTTTGGGCAGAAGAATGTCTTAATGCTGGAATTCACTTCATCAGATGAAGAATCCTAACCCGTAACAAGACAGCAACAGTTAAAAATAAAATAAAAAAGGATGAATTAATATGTTTAATGCGGAATTGGAAAGAAAGAAAAATGTTAAGTGATTAAGTTAATTTTATAAGAATATTGGTTTTTGAAAACCGTTAAAATGATATACACTGAAATTCAACCAGGGGGATACGAGGAAGTCACTTAACAATGTTACTAAGTTTGGTTTTAATATGGTTGAGATTTTTGTTTGTTTGTTTGTTTGGGAAAAAAATTTGGAAAATCAATAAAAAAAATTGGGGGGAAAATAAAAATAAAAACAAAAATAAAATAAAAAAGGAACGGCACTCACACACTGAGCATTGGTAGTAGAGGGACCGAGGGATGTGCACTTAAAACTAAGGGCAGAGGAATGTGTTCATTGCCATCATTTTTACGCCTCTCTTCAAGGAAAGGGCCTGCGGCTCTCGCTCTTACCTGCAGGCCGAAAGAGCTGTTGCCCCCGTGGTTGGTGGAAGACAGCGGCCGGCATTCCCCTAGAACCATGGAAGCGACAAACACCACAAGGGTGGTCGTTAGACACACCAGCAGGCTCTCCAAGACTCTGCAAGCGAGAAGAGGCAAGAGAAGCGTGCAAGGGAATTCGGTGGCTCAGAACCGCTCGCTGCTGCCGCCCTTCCTTCCACACTGCTGCCGCCCACCACCGATCCCACCCCGGGGATGCCACAGAAATCCCCGCAACAGGTTGTCCCAAGGTAGTCCAGGAGAGGGGAAATGGGAGATGTAGTTCCAAACATCTGGAGGACACCAGATGTGGCTCCCTAGGCCTTCCTATCTGGCCCTTGGGAGACCCTCCCTAGGCTACGCCCCCCGACCACTGACCCTGCATCACATCCAATATGTGTCAAGGCTCCCAACCCTGACCCCCTTCTTCACTAACAGTCTGGCAAACACACGCACACAGCAGCAGCAGCAGCAGAACAAGAAGACGACAATGACAGGCAGGGTAAAGGGGGCAGGTACCTGACCAACTTGGGCTTGGGGTGGACGTTCCGCATGCGGTACTTCGCAAGCCTCTTGTTGATGCAGTTGAAGGTAGCCCCCAGGAGGCCGCCCAAGATCCCCATCAGGATGAAGAAGCCCAAGTCGACGGCCGTCCACAGGTGGCATTTTTTGTCAGATTCCGGGCACTAGAGGGAGTGGAGTCGAAAGGAAGGGAAACAGGTGAGTCAACGGGGAGAAAATGAGGCAGGTGTGGCCGTTTCATTTTATGCTTCAAGGAGGGGGGGAAATCAAGAAGCAGGGGCACAGTGAAAAAAGAGGACGCAACCTCTTTTTTGGGCTAAAGGGATGGGTTTTCCACTCCATGTCACTTTCACAAGCGCTTGCTTGTTAACCATGTCATGTTATTTTAAAGCCTCACTCTGGGTTGCTAGTAAGTTATGCTCATTTCTTTCTGCAAAGGCTAGTGACAGCCTGTGCTTTATGTACTGACATGCTGTTAATTTTCATGGCCACTTTTAATAACTGCACTGTTTCTAATAAGAACCTAACTTTAAAGCCCTAAACGGCCTCGGCCCTGTATACCCGAAGGAGCATCTTCACCCCCAGCGTTCAGCCTGGACACTGAGGTCCAGCACCGAGGGCCTTCTGGTGGTTCCCTCCCTGTGAGAAGCGAGGTTACAGGGAACCAGATAGAGGGCCTTCTCGGCAGCGGTGCCTGCCCTGTGGAACACCCTCCCATCAGATGTCAAGGAAATACACAACTATCTGATTTTTAGAAGACATCTGAAGGCAGCCCTGTTTAGGGAAGTTCTTAATGTTTGACGTTTTATTGTGTTTTTAATATTCTGTTGGGAGCTGCCCAGAGTGGCTGGGGAAACCTAGCCAGATGGGTGTGTTGAATGGTCTCTTTAAATTTGAAGGTTCATTATTGTTCCACAAGATGTGTATTTCTTTAAAGGCCAGAGCAAATAACATGACCTAGTTTTACAGCTGTGAAGAAGTATAGCAGGTGCTGTTAGGTTATGTTTATTAATCTGTTGGGTATGGTATGTAAAGAGCAGCATGTAGCTCTCTCAGTACCCTGGTGAATGGGTCATGCTTACTGATATATTGTAATTTAGTGTAAAAGGTGCTTTTTGTTTTTGTTATTAAAACCTAGCAAAAGTTACTTTTGCGTTTCTTGAAATGTGTGGTCTCCCCAGCACGCTTTCTGCAGCGCAACTAATCTGCAAATAGCCAACAGGATGAGGTATAAATAATAAAATTGTTGTTAAGGACCCTCTGGAGCCAGCCAGTGGCCCATCTAGTCTAGCATCCTGCTCTCACACTGGCCAATCAGATGTCCACAAACAGGACCCGAGAGCAAGCATACTCTCCCCTCCTGTGGTTTCCAGCAACTGGTCTTCAGGACCATGACTGCCTCCAATCATGGTGGCAGAGCACAGAAATCATGGCTAGTAGCTATTGATAGCCTTCTCCTCCATGAATTTCTCTAATCCTCTTTCAAAGCTGCCCAAGTCGGTGACCATCACTGCCTCCTGCAGGAGTGAGTTCCATAGTTTAACTATGTGCTGTGTGAAGGGCTTTTGTTTATCTGTTACAGATCTTCCATTGGATACTGAAGTGAGGGACATGAGGCAGGAGTTGATAATGCAGGTGAGCTGCGCACAGCTGAGCTGCAAGCAAGCTGCCGGCCAGCTCTGTGGAAGCTCCTTTTATTGACACAATATGCAAACCCAGGCAGATACATTTTGGGCTGTGACCTTTACACATCTTCCAGTCCCAAGATCGTGGGGTGGTACAAAGTTATTTTGGCACCTGTTTCCACCGCATCATTTTCCCCTTGTTGAGTGTATGACGAAGGAGACAAAGGTCACAGACGGGACACGGCAGACTACTGAGATCGCAAAAGGTTAGACAGAGGGCAAGATGTTCCGGCAGCTGTGGCTTTATCTATGAGGGGGAGTGTGCCCGACACCCCAAGGTCATGCGTGCAAGCAACTGAGGCCGCCCGCGGGTGGGGAGTGTGCTCCACACCCAGCGATCATTCCTACAGGATACCCATGAGGTCTAATGTTACAAGGGGAAAAAACCTTCCTTGCTCCAATTTCTCCGTGCCACGTATCGTTTTATGTCAAGCGATACCTACCTTGAATTCCCCAAAATTCAGCAATCCCGGGAGCTGGAAGGAACCCCAACTTCCAAACTGGATCCCAGAGCGGAAGAAGTTCAGAGTGAAGGTGGCAGACATAGAACAAAAGAGCTGGGGAAGGAGAGAGAGAGAGAAGGTGGCATTTGAAAAGGGGTGGTGCCTATACCCTGAGGTCTCAGGGCAGATCACAGAAAAGATCACAGCATACATAATCAGAATAAAAACGACAATCTAATAACAACCCCCCTCCAAAAAAGCCACAACGTTTTTAAAGGGCATAGGATGTCAATCAAGTCAACCAAAGGCTTGGTTAAAAAGGAACGTTTTTGCCTGGCGCATAAAGGTGTATAATGAAGGTGCCATGTGAACTTCCCTGGGGAGAGCATTCCACAGACAGGGAGCCACTGCAGAGAAGGCCCCGTTCTCGTGTTGCCACCCTCTGGCCCTCTTGAGGAGGAGGCATGTGAAGGAGGGCCTCAGAAGGTGATCTCAGGGTTCAGGTAGGTTCATATGGAAAGAGGCGGTCCTTGAGGTATTGCGGTCCTGAGCCGTTTAAGGCTTTATAGATCAAAACCAGCACTTTGAACTGGGCCTGGAAACTAATTTGTAGCTAGTGCACTCAGACCAGGATTGGTGTAATATGCTCAAACCAACTTGCTCCGGTGAGCAACTTGGCCGCTGAATTCTGCACCAGCTGAAGTTTCCGAACCATCTTCAGAGACAGCCCTACCTAAAAGATTTGGTATAGTCTTCCTCCCAGAGACTCATTTTCAGTACAAACTCATTTTTCAACCAGTAACTTGTGATAAATCATCCCTTTAGGGCCTCACCACTTTCCACGTCAGGCCCTGGTTCCAGAAGGAAGAGCCCTCTTCGAGGCTGAAGAGTGTGCCACCAATTGGGGCCCCAAAGGCTGCGGCCACCCCAGCAGCAGCTCCAGCAGACACAAAATCCCTCTTGTCCCTAGGAAAAGAGAAAAATTGAGGGAGAAATTGGGAGATGTTTTGATTGGTTTCCAATCACACTTAAATGTTGCAGGAACGCATGCCAGAAGTAGGATATAAACGTTGTCATTAGTGAAATGCATTATCCCACAACTTTTTATGTGTTAGTGGAGAATGCTCTGTCATGGAATTGTAGTGAAAAAGGTAATAGAAAGGTAAGCACTTGTATAAAGTCGCCAGAGTCTCGCATTCCATTTAAAGCTTTCACACGCTTAGTGAGCTTTTCTTAGGAGATGTTTCTTAACAAAAGAGGCTGGGGCAGGGACAGGGAACCTTTTTGGCTCGGGGGGACGGGATCCATCACTCACATCATAGTGAAATCAGGGAGCAGTGTGCTTTGAAGCCCCAATCGTTGGGACTTCAAAGTGCAGCGTGGGGCTCTGGAAATCTGGAAGTTCAAAGAGCAGAGCAAGGCTGTTTGCAAAAGGGCTTTCAAGCAGCCCCGTGGTGTGCTTTGGGCTGCAGGTGCCTGTTTGCAGCTGGGGAACAGGCAATGCACAGCCAAGCTGTGCAGGATTTAACCAACATTTGTCAGCTGATGAATACACGTTAGACCCAACTTCTTTGACTGTGAGCGCCAGTTCCCATGAGCATGTAAGAATTGCTCTCTCCTTTAAATGTGAATCAGGTTTTCTCCAGAAACTAGCCAGTGATTCGCCATCAGTACACCCACTTTCCTCCTTGCCCAAGCGTGGCATAAACCACAGGTATGCACCTCTTAAGATAGAACATTTGAAATCACCACCACCACATCCCCACCATGATTTGGTAATGTACCTATCGCTGCGAAAATAGGGAAAGTTGAACTGGATCTTCCTCAAAGAGATGCTCTGGAACTGGGCAGAGAAAGAGAGAAAGAACAACTCAGAAGCTGAACAATACGGATACAAACACACACAATTACTGTAGACCGTGCTCTGCATATAAACAGTGATCCCCTTTGAGGACACACACACAAATCACAGTAAATGAACTAGGAAGAGAGCTCAGGTCCTTAGAGGCAAGCACAAATTCATGAGACAGAATTCTAAGAACAGAGTTCCACTTCTTGGAATCTTGAAAAGGGTCAAGTCTCTAAGCTCTCACAAGAGACATGAAAGCCTGCAGGGAATCCCTGTTGCAAGCTCAGAAATGGGCACAGACTGACCACCTGTATGGGCATTCTATCCGGAAGATATTTGTAATTTCGATGCATTTAGTGATCTGACATGGTCATCTCTTCCTGCCCGTTTACTTCCTGCCTTTGTTTACTTCCCCTCTCTATCTCGTTAAAGTTCTTTGATGGCTGATAGCAGCCTTTAATGTATAATCTGGTGGAAGGAAGAAGTGATAATGCAGGGTACCTTCTGACCTTCTTTAATGTTAGGGATGCTCTGGTTATCTCCCGCTTGGACTACTGCAATGCGCTCTATGTGGGGCTACCTTTGAAGGTGACCCAGAAACTACAATTAATCCAGAATGCGGCAGCCAGACTGGTGACTGGGAGCAGCCGCCGTGACCATATAACACCGGTCTTAAAAGACCTACACTGCTCCCAGTACGTTTCCGAGCACAATTCAAAGTGTTGCTGCTGACCTTTAAAGCCCTAAACGGCCTCGGCCCAGTATACCTGAAGGAGAGTCTCCACCCCCATCGTTCTGCCCGGACACTGAGGTCCAGCGCCGAGGGCCTTCTGCCGGTTCCCTCGCTACGAGAAGCCAAGTTACAGGGAACCAGGCAGAGGGCCTTCTCGGTTGTGGCAGCCGCCCTGTGGAACGCCCTCTCACCAGTTGTCAAAGAGAAAAATAACTACCCAACTTTTAGAAGACATCTAAAGGTAGCCCTGTTTAGGGAAGCTTTGAATGTTTAATAAGTTATTGTATTTTAGTGTTTTGTTGGAAGCCGCCCAGAGAGGCTGGAGGGACCCAGCCAGATGGGTGGGGTACAAATAATAAATTAATATTATTATATATTATTATTGTTGTTGTTGTTGTTGTTTGGAGGACCGTGCAGTATTGGAAGAGGGGGCGGCTAATAAATAATCTGCACTAGCTAGTCAGGCAAGGCACGTAGGCTAACAAGTTAGTATCTATAAATCGGATGGTTTGGGGGCATAGTTCTTTGTGAAGCTTGTGTACGAACTCATAGCCGGAGGATTACCTGGGAGTCACTTCACCACTTCTTGAGGGCTTCCCAGTGGCAGATCAAAGTGCTTGCTTGGTAATGTATATAATGCTTGCTGTTCAGAATAAAATCTTTAATCTTCTCACTCACTTGTGTTTGTATTGCTTCTGAATCTCATTAAATGAGCCACCTGGCATTTGGCAAGACACCACCTCTGCTGGCACTCACCTGAGGGAGACCGGCTCCTACCACAGCACCGCTGTGGATCATGGGACCCTCCTTCCCTACAAAGAGACCTGGGGAAAAAAAGACAGGTAGGTGAGTTCTCTATAAAAGCCAAGATCTGGGAGCTGGAAGGATAAGAGACAGCATAAAAAGTGTCATGCAGGTGGGAGCAGAATCCCACAGGGGACAGGTCCCCTCTTACCTCCAGCGACGCTGAAGAGCACCCCGAGAGCTTTGCACACCAGAGTCCGGAGGCGAACAATCCCAGGGACCTTCACTCCGTTCAAGTAGCATTTGATCTCCGGAATCCCAGAACCAGCAGCCACAGGCTGAAAGGAGAAGGACTACAGGTCAGGAGCAGAGCACATGCTTTGCATGTGGAAGGTCCCAGGCTCAATCCCTGGGAGCAACCTCCAGGTAAGGCTGGGGGTAACCCTTGCCGAAATCCCTAGAGTGCCAGTGTAGAGAACAAAGAGCTGGGTAGACCAGTGGTCTGACTCAGTATGATGAGCTTCCTAGGTTTCTATTTAAATCAGCCCTCTGTTCAGAATCATGAGGACTAGGATCTTGGGTTTTCTTTAGGGGAAGGACCAAAGCTCAGCCGCACATCACCTGCTTTGCACACAGAAGGGCCCAGATTTAAATCCAGGCTTTTTAAGGTAGGGCTGGGACAGAGAGCCCAGTCTGAAACCCTGGAGAATCGCTGCCAGTCAGGGAGCCAAGGCTGAACTGGATTGGACCACAGGAACCTCAGTATAAGATGGCTGCCTATATCCCTATGTATCTATATGTGGTTTTTTTCAAGTGTTATTGATTTTGGTTTGTTTGTCTTTTTAATGATGGTGGTTTTAGGCCTTGTTTGTTTTTAACTGGTTTGTGGATTTTAGCCAGGTTTCATTTTACCATTTTGTTGGCAAGCTCTTTGATCAAATGGCGTATTAATCTTCTAAATGAATAAGGCGGCGTAATGCTCGAGACCCAGGCAAAATATGAATTAAAGGAGGTTCATATGTCTGACCCACAAATGTACTTATAATGGCACAAGTGGTGTTCTTGAATCCTTTAGGAGCACAATTCAAAGTGTTGGTGCTCACCTTTAAATTCCTAAACGGCCTCAGCCCAGCATACCTGAAGGAGCATCTCCACCCCCATCATTCAGCCCGGACACTGAGGTCCAGCTCCAAGGGCCTTCTGGCGGTTCCCTCCCTGCAAGAAGTGAGGTTACAGGAACCAGGCAGAGGGCCTTCTCGGTAGTGGCGCCCTCACTGTGGAACGCCCTCCCATCAGATGCCAAGGAGATAAAGAACTACACAACTTTTAGAAGACATCTGAAGGCAGTCCTGTTTAGGGAAGCTTTTAATGTTTGATGTTTTGTTATGCTTTTATATATGTTGGAAGCCACCCAGAGTAGCTGGAGCAAACTAACCAGATAGACGGAATACAAATAAAATAATAGTAATAGTAATTCTGAAGACTAGGCTTGGCCCAAGACATGCCTCAATAGCTTTCCAGAGAAATGTGTTGGTTAAAAAGGTTGCTCAAATCCCTTAGTTTTAGTCCATGCTTGTAGTTCAGGTGTAGGTAACCTCTGACCCTCCAGATGTTGCTGAACTACAACTCCCATCAGCCTCAGCAAATGTACCCAATGGCCAGGGATGATGGGAGTTGCCATTCAGCAATATCTAGAGGGCCAAATGCTCCCCATGCCTGCTCTGTAACTATCTGCCTGGTTGGCTAGGGTGAGCAAGAACAGATGGGAGGCAACCAGGCAAGAAACCTTTTCTTTTTTCTTTTTGCAAAGTAGAGAATGGAAAGTTCTTTCCCTTTTCCCAAAAATGACTTAACTCAGGTTCATGTGGGAAGACTGGCCTATAGAAAATTCTGCACACTGGAGAACTTTTCAGCCCAGCTGGCTGCCCCGTATTACCTGGATCAAGACGAGGAGGCTGGCCAGGAAGATGAAGGTCAGGTTAAAGCCGAGGAGCTCCAGCAGGGACACTGCAAGGCAGCCTTTCTCGCTGCACTCCTCCACCGCTGCAGGGCGAGAGTCAAGGAAACGGATGCAGCCAGCCTGGGAAGACCTCTCTGCTTTATCCCAGCTGACCTATGCAACAAGAGTTCCTATTTATCGGCAAAGAACAACTGCTTCAACCTATGCTGCTTCAGGAACAGAGCCACAGAAACGGGCACGGCCAGCCTGCCCACATTACAGGGGCAAGGAACTTGTAAATCAGTCTGAGGGCCGCACTCCCTTCTGGGCAAGCTCCTAGGGGCCACATGCCGGGCAGGGCCAGAGGCAGAAGTCGGCTGAGCAACCAATGTGCATTTTACCTTTTTATGGTAGGCTGGTTTCTACACAGGATGCGGGGGGCGCTGTGGGTTAAACCACAGAGCCTAGGACTTGCCGATCAGAAGGTCGGCGGTTCGAATCCCCGTGACGGGGTGAGCTCCCGTTGCTCGGTCCCTGCTCCTGCCAACCTAGCAGTTCGAGAGCACATCAAAGTGCAAGTAGATAAATAGGTACCGCTCCAGCGGGAAAGTAAACGGCATTTCCGTGCGCTGCTCTGGTTCACCAGAAGCGGCTTAGTCATGCTGGCCACATGACCCGGAAGCTGTACGCCGGCTCCCTCGGCCAGTAAAGCGAGATGAGCGCCACAACCCCAGAGTTGGCCACGACTGGACCTAATGGTCAGGGGTCCCTTTACCCCTACCTAGTTTCTACACACAATCTTGCGACACTTCTCTTTCCTCCATCCAGGCAAACCAGAAACATTATCAGGGTTCGAGGGCACAGAGGGACCTGGAAGGCCGAATATGGCCTCTGGGTCAGAGGTTCCCCAACTTCAAAACTCAATTGCTGCAGGGGCTTTCCTTGGGCTGGGGTGGAGGCTGCAGCTGATGCAAAGTGCTGTGTGGGACAGACTTACCAGCATGTAACCTTAGTGCTCCAAAGTGTGCACCATCTCTCCACATGCTAGTGGGCAAGGTTAAAGTTCCTTGCATTAATTTACAAGGCCCTCAGAAACTCATGTCCATGTGCCAGGGACCGTGCTGAGGAGGGCTGCTCTGAGGAGGAATGGTGGGAGCCTCCTCTCCCCCTGATCAGGATCCTGAATCTTCCCAGGAGCAGAGAAGTAGTATAGATTTGGAACAGTGGTTTGCAGAGGGACATAGTTCAGAAGGCAGAAGCTGGGAAGTACTGGGTGGGGAACAGCTAGGAGAGGAAGAACTGGGAGAGAGAGAGAGAGTTAACAGACTCAATGTCGCTGGAAAGCGTCCAGCCGCTCAGCCCAGGGTCGAGGGCAGATAAGGTGGCAGCGCAGAAAGCACAGCGGTTGCAAGATCAGGTTACAAGTTGTGGAAGTGAAGCGGGTGACTAGGGAGGAAGTGGGTGGGACCCTTAATTGGGAGCACCGCCGTTCCTAGAAAATGGATTCTTTGTTCTCTCGCTGTGATCATTAAAGTTTCTTTCTAACTGGTAAGAAAGCTCCTTTCCTTTGTTCTGCTTTTTGTTCTTGTTGTTTAGTCGTTTAGTCGTGTCCGACTCTTCGTGACCACATGGACCAGAGCACGCCAGGCACTCCTGTCTTCCACTGCCTCCCGCAGTTTGGTCAAACTCATGCTGGTAGCTTTGAGAACACTATCCAACCATCTCGTCCTCTGTTGTCCCCTTCTCCTTGTGCCCTCCATCTTCCCCAACATCAGGGTCTTTTCCAGGGAGTCTTCTCTTCTCATGAGGTGGCCAAAGTATTGGAGCCTCAGCTTCAGGATCTGTCCTTCCAGTGAGCACTCAGGGCGGATTTCCTTAAAAATGGATAGGTTTGATCTTCTTGCAGTCCATGGGACTCTCAAGAGTCTCCCCAGCGCCATAATTCAATTCTTTGGCGATCAGCCCTCTTTATGGTCCAGCTCTCACTTCCATACATCACTACTGGGAAAACCATAGCTTTAACTATACGGACCTTTGTCGACAAGGTGATGTCTCTGCTTTCTGCTTTTTGTTCTGCTTATCTACTGCCAAAGGGTTAGGGGAAGGGGAAGGAAGCCAATTCCCTGAAGTCTGACACCAGGATACCTCAAGGACCGCCTGATCCTTATATCCCTGCTCACTCTTTGGGGGAGTCGCTGCCAGTGGTGCTCTACAGCTCATAGCCACCAAGAATCATGGGTTCAGTACTGTGGGCCCTATTTTATGGAAGTCCTTCCTAGCTGAGGTCAGACAGGCCCCGTCTCCCTGCTGAACTGCCAGCACCTAATAGAGACATTTTAATTCCATCATGCATTTTGATTTTGAGTTTGGTTTTACAGTCTTAACTCATTTTCATTTATCTGCACTGCTTTAAGAAATAAAATAAAATATTCTTTTAACACCGATGATCTCATTGGGTTACCCCAGTTTGGCAAACATGCAAGAAGCATCTCTAGGTGATCGTTACTCCTTCCCATCCTGAATCTAAGTGGCGTGGGCAGGTCAAATAAATCAAGTGTCTCAATCGAAGCCAGCGAGGCTTCTCAGACCAACTCTCAAAAATACTTCCTTGGGTTCTCCTGTTCAACCCAGCCACTGCCTCAATTAGAGGGACCACTGAAATGACAAAACCAAGGTGGATACAATTCTGCACGATGTGGAACTTGAGTCTGGAGAAGAGTCGTACAAAGAAGTCCACAAAGAGACCAACCTGTGAGAGGAGAAGAGGAGGAGGGGGTTAAGGAAAAGAAGACCAGCACCATTACATTGCAGCAGAAAAGGGAAGGTTCTTCATTCTACTGGGGGCCGCATGGAAGTGTGGTATAGTGGTCAGAGTGCCAGCCTAGGACCTTGGAGGCCAGGGTTCAACCCTCAGCCATGAAGCTTGCTAAGTAATCTTAGGCCTGTCACCGTCTCTCTGCCTAACCTGCCTCAAAGGGTTGTTCTGAGAATAAAACAAGGAAAGAGGGGTGGAACCGTGTACATCACATTGAGATCCTTGGAGGAAATGCAAGATTTAATGCAATAATAGATTTAAAAAAATAAAAAATAAACAAACATGAGTGGTGAGCAGGTCCAGAGGCAAAAAAATGGGCAAATCAATACGTGTATACTAGGATATGTTCAAGCCACACAAAAACCAGACGGTTCTACTTTCCCCAAAGCATCCTGGGAGGTGTAGTTTGTTAAGGGTGCTGAGAATTATTCAGAGACCCCCTATTCCCCCTCACGGAACTACAATTCCCAGAGCGATTTAACATATAACTCATCTTCCCCGTGCCATGACATCATTATTAATAAAACAAACACAAAGCAATAACGCCCGTTGAAAATGTGTGTGATGGAGAGGAATCAGTCCCTCTCCCCATGGAACTCTGGGAATTGTAGTTCTTAACAAATATCAGTTCCCAGGATCCTTTAGGCGAAGCTGCGGCTGTTTAAAGTGGCATCCTAGTGCTTTAAATGTATAGTGTAGACAGGGTCTACTCTGTGGAGGACAAGCACGGGATATAATGGGTCTACTCTGAGTAGGACTAGCATTGCATCTGCCCTTCACCGGAGGAAGCAAACTAGCAAGGACCCTCACCATCCCAGTGCAGACTCCAATGGCAAAAACCACCATCCACTTCACCGCTTCATACCGCCAGCCTTTCTGCGAGAGAGGGGAAAAAAGACAGAGTTGGGAATCATGTGTCGTCACCAGTTCTCTGGGCTGAGCTACACACACACACACACACACACACACCTCTTCCAAAGGATTGGGGTAAAAGCAGGGTGGATAAAAATCCATTATTTTTTTGATTTAAATCGGATTTTTAAAATAAAATGCTTTTGGAGGAAAAATCTTTCTAAAGATAGTTTTCTATTTACCGTTTTTTTCGCTCTATAACACGCACCCGACCATAACACGCACATAGTTTTTAGAGGAGGAAAACAAGGAAAAAAAATATTCTAAACGAAACAGTGGGTGTATGATTTTTTTGGTTCATGCTGTGGCCACAGACGTGATCTGACGGTGAGTTTGGGGTAGCCCAATGCAAAAATCCTGAGGATCCATGTGGATCCATGCTTTGTAACCACGTTTTGCACCACTGTGGCCCCAAGCAATAGTGGGTGCATGATTTTTTGGGTGCAAGCTGTAGCCATGGACATGCTATGTGATCTGATGGTGAATTTGGGTGACCCAGTGCAAAAATCCTGAGGATCCATGTAGATCCGTGCTTTGTAACCACGTTTTAAGGGGGGAGGGAAGGGAAAGCACTCAAGGGACAAGGAGCACGCGTGGGGTGTGTGGAGAAGGATGCTGCTAATAATGCAGAAGAGGGGTATAAGAGGAGAAGGCTCCTCTCCTCTCCCGCTTTGCTCCTTTAAAGCAAGCAGGCTCTCTGTCCCTCTCTCCTCCCCACTCAGCGGCTCTTCTTCTGCTTTGCTGTTTCAAAGCGAGCCACGGAGGAGGGAAGGAAGGGGAACCATGGATCCTCTGCTCACGACTGCAGCAGATCCCCCCGCCATCCGTAGGCATTCGCTCCATAACACGCACAGACATTTCCCCTTACTTTCTAGGAGGAAAAAAGTGAGTGTTATGGAGCAAAAAATACGGTAAGTTACATTATAGTCCAAAGACTATTCATCAGGAAATTTCCATCAGGAAATTTGGATTTGTTTTAAGTTTTTCATGTGTGCTAAAACTCACTCTAAGTGGGTCACTGCCTTGCCATGGCGAAGGGGCTTGAATAGCTCAGAGAAGCTATGAACTATGCCGAGCAGGGCACCCAAGATGAACAGGTCATAGTGGAGAGTTTTGACCAAACGCGATCCACCTGGAGGAGGAACCGGCAAGCCACTCCAGTATCCCTGCCAAGAAAACTCCATGGACAAAGACAACAGGCATATAAAAGTTATAGCTGGAAGATGAGCCCCACAGGTTGGAAGGCGTCCAACATGCTACTGGGGAAGAGCGGAGGGCAAGTACAAGTAGATCCAGAGCTGATGAAGCGGCTGGGCCAAAGCCGAAAGGACGCTCAGTTGTGGATATGCCTGGAAGCGAAAGGAAAGTCCAATGCTGTAAAGAAAAATATTGCATAGGAACCTGGAATGTAAGAACCATGAACCTGGGTAAGTTGGAGGTGGTCAAAAATGAGATGGCAAGAATAAATATTGACATCCTGGGCATCAGTGAACTAAAATGGACGGGAATGGGTGAATTCAGTTCGGATGACCATCATATCTACTACTGTGGGCAAGAAACCCGTAAAAGAAATGGAGTGGCCCTCATAGTCAACAAAAGAGTGGCGAAAGCTGTACTGGGATGCAATCTCAAAAATGATAGAATGATCTCAATACGAATCCAAGGCAGACCTTTTAACATCACAGTAATCCAAGTTTATGCACCGACTACTGGTGCTGAAGAAACTGAAATTGACCAATTCTATGAAGACTTATAATACCTTATAGAAGTGACACCAAAGAAGGATGTTCTTCTCATTATAGGGGATTGGAATGCTAAAGTAGGGAGTCAAGAGATCAAAGGAACAACTGGCAAGTTTGGCCTTGGAGATCAAAACGAAGCAGGGCAAAGGCTAATAGAGTTCTGTCAAGAGAACAAGCTGGTCATCATTTCCAACAACACAAGAGACGACTCTATACATAGACATCACCAGATGGGCAGCATCGAAATCAGATTGATTATATTCTCTGCAGCCAAAGATGGAGAAGCTCTATACAGTCAGCAAAAACAAGACCTGGAGCTGACTGTGGCTCAGATCATCAGCTTCTTATAGCAAAATTCAAGCTTAAACTGAAGAAAGTAGGAAAAACCACTGGGCCGGTAAGATACAATCTAAATCAAATCCCTTATGAATACACAGTGGAAGTGAGGAACAGGTTTAAGGATTTAGATTTGGTGGACAGAGTGCCTGAAGAACTATGGATGGAGGCTCGCAACATTATACAGGAGGCAGCAACGAAAACCATCCCAATGAAAAGGAAATGCAAGAAAGCAAAGTGGCTGTCCAATGAGGCCTTACAAATAGCGGGGGAGAGAAGGCAAGCAAAATGTGAGGGAGATAGTGAAAGATACAGGAAACTGAATGCAGATTTCCAAAGAATAGCAAGGAGAGACAAGAAGGCCTTCTTAAACGAGCAATGCAAAGAAATAGAGGAAAACAACAGAATGGGAAGAACCAGAGATCTGTTCAAGAAAATTGGAGATATGAAAGAAACATTTCGTACAAAGATTACCATAATAAAGGACAAAAGTGGTAAGGACCTAACAGAAGCAGAAGACATCAAGAAGAGGTGGCAAGAATACACAGAGGAATTATACCAGAAAGATATAGATGTCTCATATACCCCAGGTAGTGTGGTTGCTGACCTTGAGCCAGACATCCTGGAGAGTGAAGTCAAATGGGCCTTAGAAAGCACTGCAAATAACAAGGCCAGTGGAAGTGATGGTATTCCAGCTGAACTATTTAAAATTTTAAAAGATGATGCTGTTAAGGTGCTACACTCAATATGCCAGCAAGTTTGGAAAACTCAGCAGTGGCCAGAAGATTGGAGAAGACCAGTCTACATCCCAATCCCAAAGAAGGGCAGTGCCAAAGAATGCTCCAACTACCACACAATTGCACTCATTTCACACGCTAGCAAGGTTATGCTTAAAATTCTACAAGGAAGGCTCAAGCAGTATGTGGACCGAGAACTCCCAGAAGTGCAAGCTGGATTTAGAAGAGGCAGAGGAACCAGAGACCAAATTGCAAACATGTGCTGGATTATGGAGAAAGCTAGAGAGTTCCAGAAAGACATCTACTTCTGCTTCATTGACTATGCAAAAGCCTTTGACTGTCTCGACCACGGCAAACTATGGCAAGTTCTTAAAGAAATGGGAGTGCCTGATCACCTCATCTGTCTCCTGAGAAATCTCTATGTGGGACAAGAAGCTAAAGTTAGAACTCGATATGGAACAACTGATTGGTTCAAAATTGGGAAAGGAGTACGACAACGCTGTATTTTGTCTCCCTGCTTATTTAACTTATATGCAGAACTCATCATGCGAAAGGCTGGGCTGGATGAATCCCTAGCCGGAATAAAGATCGCCGGAAGAAATATCAACAACCTCAGATATGCAGATGACACAACCTTGATGGCAGAAAGTGAGGAGGAATTAAAGAACCTTTTAATGATGGTGAAAAAAGAGAGCGCAAAATATGGTCTGAAGCTCAACATCAAAAAAACGAAGATCATGGCCACTGGTCACATCACCTCCTTGCAAATAGAAGGGGAAGAAATGGAGGCAGTGGGAGATTTTACTTTCTTGGGCTCCATGATCACTGCAGATGGTGACAGCAGCCTCAAAATTAAAAGACGCCTGCTACTTGGGAGAAGGGCAATGACAGGCCTAGACAGCATCTTGAGAAGTAGAGACGTCACCTTGCCAACAAAGGTTCGTATAGTTATAGCTATGGTTTTCCCAGTAGTGATGTATGGAAGTGAAAGCTGGACCATAAAGACGGCTGATCGCCGAAGAATTGATGCTTTTGAATTATGGTGCTGGAGGAGACTCTTGAGAGTCTCATGGACTGCAAGAAGATCAAACCTCTCCATTCTGAAGGAAATCAGCCCTGAGTGCTCACTGGAAGGACAGATCGTGAAGCTGAGGCCCCAGTACTTTGGCCACCTCATGAGAAGAGAAGACTCCCTGGAGAAGACCCTGATGTTGGAAAAGATGGAGGGCACAAGAAGAAGGGGACGACAGAGGACGAGATGGTTGGATAGTGTTTTCGAGGTTACCAGCATGAGTTTGACCAAACTGCGGGAGGCAGTGGAGGACAGAGGTGCCTGGCGTGCTCTGGTCCATGGGGTCACGAAGAGACGGACACGACTAAACGACTAAACAACAAAGTTTTCTTTTTTAAAAAAATGTTTAACCACATCAGTTAACAAACATGGATACGTATACTATAATGTTATTGTTTTAGTTAAACTGTTTAAATTGTTATTAAGGAAATAATTATTTTTCTCCTTCCAACAAAGTACAGCAGAACAGTTGTCCAAATATAAACAGTTAACTTATTAAACCTCACAATAATTTCATAATTATCTGTCTATGTATTTCTAATAGTATAACCAAATCAGTTATTTTTGATGTAACTGTAAAAGCTACTCTGAAGATTTATTATTCCAAAAATGAAACCTCTACCTGGTTGTAAATGTTACGATTATACCAGCAAGAGTGAGTCTTTCTGTAAAAAAAATTGATTTCAATCAAGCCTTACTGACTAGTGATTTAAGTCGGTTTGATTTAAATCAAATCCACCCTGAGCAAAAGTCAGATCCAGTAGAATTAATCTGAGCGTTGAAAAGTCCACAGAGCTGAAAGAGGAAGTGGGAAAGAGTGTCATCCTTCCAAATTCCTCCTGCAACTCTATTGTACTCTTCAAGGAAGGAAAAGGTAATAGCCCTCGCTTCCTCATGACCAAGAAGGAAATGAATGGAGGATCTCTGTGGCTTTATGTGTAACTAAGGGGAGACCTCAACTACAGCAACAAGTACCATGCTGGGAAGTCCTAAAGCTAGCTGATCAAGACTAAAAGAGCAGAAACCGATTATTCCCATGACTGTAACTTCCCTACACCATCTTACCTTGCTATCAAGGCTTTCCAGAACTTCCAAGTAGGGTTCGTTGATGCTACGATCATAGTCCAAACTCTGCAGGTGGGTGGGAGAGAAAGGCAAGCGCATTTGAACGCAACCCATAATACAGGAGAAAGAGAGCAAGAACCGCTACATTCACACTCACATTTTCGAAAAGAAATTTCTTACTCCAGACAGAAGTTGCCGGGAGGGAGAAGCTGTGGCCCTCCAGAGATCATTAGACTCTGGCCAATAGCCCCCATCCTGCGTTAAAGATAGTCAGGGGCAGTAAAGTCAAGCAATGGTCTAAGTTCAGAGAAGGGTTCAGAACTTAGCCAGGCCCCCTCTTTCCTTTTTCCTTCTGTGATGGAACTCCTATTTGGGGACTTCCCTGGCTTTTTTCTGGCCCACGTAGGACCAGTCTGAATAGTTGGCCTTGGTGAAGATTTGACGTTTTCATCCCCAAAAAGTTTTGGATTTGAGTTTCTATTGAAATGAGGCTGCATTTTAATGTTGTATTTTAATCTTGTTTTTAAGTTGTTTCTTAATCAATTGTTTTATATCTGGTGTTCGCCGCCCTGAGCCCGGTCTTGGCTGGGGAGGGGAGGGCATAAATAAATTTTATTATTATTACTGGAACAGGGTACAACTGCAATTAAGTGGAGATTTCCAGGCACCAGTTTGGCAACCACAGCCTAAGAAGCTCTGCCTTAAAAGATAAAGGGACCCCTGACGCACTCATCTCGCTTTATTGGCCAAGGGAGCCGGCGTCCAGCTTCCGGGTCATGTGGCCAGCAGGACTAAGCCGCTTCTGGCGAACCAGAGCAGCGCACGGAAACGCCGTTTACCTTCCTGCCGGAGCGGTACCTATTTATCTACTTGCACTTTGACGTGCTTTCAAACTGCTAGGTTGGCAGGAGCAGGGAGCGAGCAACGGGGTGATTCAAACCGCTGACCTTCTGATCAGCAAGTCCTAGGCTCTGTGGTTTAACCCACAGCGCCACCCGCGTCCCTAGCCTTAGTTCATGGTTAATCTCATTTCCATTTCCACTGTGTGCATTTCTCCTTCTTGCATCTTGGGACAAGTGAATTGTCGCAAGAGCAAGCTACAGTCAAGCAATGGAGTTGAGGTCATAGAACCATAAAATTGTAGTGTTGGAAGGGACCCGGAGGGTCATCCAGTCCAACCCCCTGGCAAACAGACATCCAGTTGTGGCAAGTGTAACCTAGATTTAAGGTGCTGTTTGGCTTATATATCCAACATTTGTGGATGCACACATACCCTTCACAGGAGCCTATGCTTCTTAACCCCCACTCATCTGTTTCTTTTAATTGCCCATTGATAAAACCGTCACTGCTCACCTCATAGTCCTTACGTGGGAGAATCTCGTCATCTTCTTCCTCAGTTTCTCCAAGGATAGTCTGGGAAACAAATCAGAAGTCTCAGAAGTGAATGAGTGAAATTTATTACAGTCCCAGACCAGATTCACATACCGTACTAAGCAAACATCAAACACAACACAATCAAGTTTGAATTAATAATCAAATACGACAATAAACAATACTAATATGACAAGTCATTAGAAATGTGGTTTAGGTCTTAGTCTCTAAAATATTATCTGAGGCCTTAGTCTTTGTAACAGCACAGCTTGTTCCCTGAGTTTTATGGCAGCCGTGCAAAATTTGGCCACCCTTAGCGTGATCTCTGGATCCTTATCCTCTATTAGGGATTTTAAGCAATGAGGTTCAGACCCACTTGGAATTTTCTGTTTAACAGGGGTGATAAAGACCAAGTATATATCCTCATAAAAACAACATCGTAGTAAGACATGAGAGACGGTTTCCACCTCTATCAGGCCGCAGGGGCAGATTTGCTCCGCATATGGTTTACCCACATATCTGCCCTGTAATAAGGCAGGTGGCAGCACGTTGAATCTAGTGAGGGTGAACGACCATCTGTATTTAGATATTTGTAATTTTGTCAGATATATTGCTGGAGTAAAACCTCTCCCATTGTCTTGGATTGCTGGGTGCTTATTCATCTCACTCACATGACACTGAAATTCTACTTCCCAGATTTGTTGGCGAATTGTTGCTCTGGATTTCTCATATCCTGTGGCTAACAGTGCCTGTGGCAAAAACCCCAGCTTTTCATGTAATGTAGCTTTCCATTTTGATTGATAGGGATCCAGTAGGGTTAAGGGTACTAAGTCTCAGAAGTAAATGGAAGTCAAGTTGATCCACAACAATTCTTTTTCAAAGCATTGTTGTTTGATACTGGGCTAATCCAATGGTCCCCAACTTTTGGGAACCTGGAAGGTACGTTGGAAAAATTTGTTGTGGGTACCCATTTCACAGAAGGAAAACTGAGTAATATTCAGAACTTGCTGCCCCAAACAGGCAAACCACCTGCAGTCTCAAACTCCCCCAAACGGACAAAAAAAAACACCAGGAAACACTTTCCACAACCCCTGTGGTGTAATGGTTAAGTGTGTCAAGAACTAGGTCCTAGGAGACCAGGGTTCAAATTCCCACTCAGGCATGACGCTTACTGGGAGACCTTGGGCCAGTCACTGCCTCTCAGCCTAACCACGAGAACCATAAATAAACCATACCCTGCAAAACGCCTCAGTTTAAGAACAAAATAAAATAGGGAGATCAATATGCAACAAGGAGACAATAAAATGCAACCTCTTAGCCACACACCTCTTAGCCTCTACACACACATAGAAAATTATTAATTAAATTTATTAGTTGCTTTTTGCCATGACAATTCAAAGTGACTTACAATAATTTAAGCAAACATATAAATTAAAACCAGCATTTATTTATTTTTTAAAGGAGCTAATATATGGAACAGCTAATATATTTTGACAAACAGGTGGTATCCAGAAACTTTGGACTACAACTCCCATCAGTCCTGGACAGCATTTGTAGCCCCAAACATCTGGAAGGCACATGGTGGTACACTAAACTAGCTTCTATGGTCTGTGCTAGTGTAGAAAGACCTAAATTGCTTGGGACTCAAGTACGGTACTTAGAGGAGCAGATCTCTCCCAGTATCAACTGTGTGTCCAAGACACATTGCATTGCCAACAGACATCACCATTAACTCACACAGCTTGCAAACCAACGCTCACCACTCATTTTCAGGCTGCCCAGAAAATTCTTAGACTCAGCACTGAGAATGAATTGGCAACCCCGGATCTAAGACAATCGGCCTTTAACTTCATGTATTTGGGGTTTACTTTAAAAAAGAAAAGAAAAAAGAATGAACTGTGATAGTAAGGCCCCATCTGCTCAACACATTTAAAGCACTATTATGCTACTTTAAAACAACGATGGCTTTCTCCCTGAAGAATCCTGGGAATGTAGTTTGTTATGGGTGCTGAGAATAGTGAGGAAAGAGACCACTCTCCTCGCACAGCTACAATTTCCAGAGTGGTTTAACAGTCATTCCCATCTTCCCAGGGAACTCTGAAAATTGTAGCTCTCAGGGGTAAATAGAGGGTCTCCTAAGAACTGTAAGAGATCCAATAGGCTTCATCAGAAATGTTTGTCATGAACCTGCATTTTGATAAAAAAAAAGATAACATCTGAACATTTAGCAAAGGTGCTCAGTGGATTCTCAACTGGTAAATATCAGAATTCTCCAATATCATCCTCTGGGCTAAGAAAATACTGAATGTATTTCCATTACTGCATACCCACATTTAAAAGTTTGCATCTTTCAAGAAAGCACTAGTTCTTTATCAGGGTGCAAACAGTTGCAGAAATGTTTAAGAACATGCTATTCCATACATTTGAAAACAAAAAAACAGGCTTTCAAATTATTACATTAGATGCTGCAGACACCTCACTCCAGTACCCAAGACGAGTTGCTTCCGACAACAGCCTATTGAGAGTAAACCCATTGAAACTAATAAGCTTCTAGGAAAACATGTCCAACAATTTGAATGGTTCTGCTTTGACTAGAACTAACGTGGAATATAATCCTGTCTATACATGTGAGATAAACAAGTATCACTGCAATGACCCATTGGAAAGGAACTCTGTACATGCACAAAAGCGTCCCCCTTAAGAGATGTATGCTCCAAGACAGAATATTTATATAGACATGACAAGCAGGTGCCGTCTCTGAGCATGTAGGGTGCAGTTTTCCCTTTCCAATGAGTCCCTGCAATGCCCCCTCCCAGTGCCAATACATATATACAGAGAGAGAGAGGAAAAAACCCTCAGATATATTGGGGGGGGGGGCTATATTGATATATTGAGTGACCCATTGGAGAAGCACTCTGTACATGCACAGAAGCACCCCTCCCTCAGACATGCATGTCCTAAGGGATAAGATTTTACAGCTGCAGCAAAGCAGGTCGGCTGCCTCTGAGCATGCACAGAGCGGTTTTTCCTTTTTCCATGAATCGCTGCTAACACACCCACGCGCCTATCTCTGCAGGAGCGGAGGGTTTTGCAGAGACCCGCTGGAAGAGGGAAGTCCACTCTGCTCATGCTCAGAGGCACCCCCGCTTTGCTACGGCCACCTCCCAAGACCAAGCACGCTGCGAACAATGGGGACAGGCAAGGGTGTTGGCTCCAGCCAGGCTCTCACGGAGGCCCCCCCCCCGGCGCCCCTCCCTCACCAGCTCCTCCGGGGTGCGGCTCTCTCTCTCCCCGCAGCAGCAGCAACAGCAGCAAGCACCAGCCCCGCAGCCGGCCGCCATCTTCCTCGCAGCCCCAGGCAGACGCCAGCCGGAGAACCCCGCGCATGCGCCCTGCCGCTCGAGGAGCAAGGAGGGGCGCGGTCGAAAAACGGAAGTGCTGGTAGCAAAGCCCGCAGAGATACGAAACTCAGAAAATCAAGAGAGGTCCAACTTTTTTTTCTCTCTGCATGGGAGATTTCCGGGTACGCGGCAGCCTTGTTCAGGGAAGTTTTTAATATTTAATGCTGTACTGTTTTTAACATTTGATTGGGAGCCGCCCAGAGTGGCTGGGGAAACTCAGCCAGATGGGCGGGGTATAAATAATAAATTATTATTATTATTATTATTAGCCCCGACCACCTGCGGCAGGGAAAGCGCGGCTCTGCAAGCGAGTCCCTGAGGACTAGGATCTTGCTTGTATTCATTCCTAAGGGGTAGGCTGCAACTCAGCGGCGAAGCATTCGTTCCGATCTGCTTTGCGCAGTGGTTTAGACTGAAGCTGCAAGATGCCCTCGACATTTAAAGCACCCCGCCTCCCAATTTTCATGGGAATCCTGAGGTCTCCATTGCAGTTTAATGGTGAATTTTGGACACAATGGAGCGGTAAAAGACTTGGGTTTTCATAAAAGAGGCAGGATGAAGTGATTAACAATAGAACCCACAAAGGGGAGGAGGGCAGTCCCAAGAGATTCCTTGGAATCTTGTTTTTATGCTGTATGTTGGATATGTGACTGTGAAATTTTAATCTGAAAAACCAAATAAATAAAATTTTTAAAAAGGAATTCTAAGGTCTCAAATTCAGAATAAATGTTGATAATTGCACAAGGTAAACACACATACATAAGTATATAAACCACATGTCTAAAATAGTACAGGAGAGCAACCCAAAAGCCATCTTGGCTCCCCTAAAGAGACTCAATATTTCCTCTGCCTCCTTAAACTTGAGAACAGGTAGGGAGATAGCAATTCCGGGAAGTTCCTGAAGGGATTCCTTCCCCATCTCTATGAACCTCCTTTGTATTAATTGTCATCGTTTGTCCAGATGTTGTGCATTGAGGGATGTCAAACGGGCATCCTGATTGTCATATCAAATGCAAATGTTTTGTGTAAAATGTGTCTGGAACTAAGTAAAACTTGCTCAGTCCTCAGGAATATCACCCCTTGGCCTGCCTGAGCCACAGCAACCCCACCTTATATGTGATTTCTGACTGTTTGTAGAGGAGGAGTGCTTCTTCTCCCCGCCAAAATGCAAACCCTTCAAAGAGATGTTTCTTCTTGGTTCTGGGTCTCTCTTGCCTTCTTGCTAGGAGGGGAGGGAACTCTGCTGGAACAGAAAAAATAAAGATCTGCCTTGCTTTCCCTGCATCCTGCCTCCATCCATTCATCTCTGACCGATCATGGACTTAGGGGACTCAGTGGCGTCGCAACAGGGGGCGTGGGAGCCATACGGCACTGGAGCGTCACCGGCTGCAAACCGCTATACAGCACATGTGCGGCATCGCTACATATGCACATGCGCCCTACGTAGCAACGCCTGCCTTTGGTGTCACGACGCCTTCCTTCGCCCCTGAGGACTCAGTCTCTTGGGGAGTTGGGCAGCAAAAACCAGTCACCCCTAATTTTTCTATATCACAACTAATGTGGGCAGCTGTAAGGTTTTCCCCTCCTGAACCACCTTTGCTTTTGACACCTAGCGCCTAACACTTTACAGTAATTACATTAAAAAATAAGAATAATTCGTGGTTGTACATCTGCTTCGCCACAAGGGGGAAGGCTCCAATAAGAGAGAAAGGAAATTTGCAAAAGAGGTGTTTTGTGTGTTTTTGGGTGGGATTTTATGGATTTGTTAGATGCTTTGAGACATCTTTTTGTAAAAACTGATGAATAAATGGAATAAATAATAGTGAGGTGGGGGGAGAAACCGCCTATGGGAGGCCTGAAAATACATATTGAAAATTGCTATGACCAAAAAAACAAAAACAAAAAACCCATACCAGCTTAAATTAGCTACAGGCAAAGCTAAAACGATTTGATGTTTATTTGTTAGCATGGTACAATTTTATCTTCCATTCAAATCAGGGACATATGCAAGAACATTAACCCAAACCTTCCCACAGATTAAGAAATATTTAATTACCAAGTATACCATTATGATAACGTATACAAGAAAACCCCCAAATTGCCAGTGGATCTTGCATATATCCTTACACACATGTTTAAAAGCATCACCTTCTCTTAGTCATTTTGTGTGGTTGTTTCTTTTTGTATAGAAAAAAAAACACTGGAGGAGGTGCACCTAATATTTGCAAGCCACTTCCAACCGTGGGAAAAAATTTACAGGAGCTGGAGCAGGGCAGGGGGCAGGGGAGATATGTGAGATTACCTGTTGCAGATCCAAATGACTGATATCCTTGCATTCTCTTAAGGTAAAGGTACCCCTGCCCGTACGGGCCAGTCGTGTCCGACTCTAGGGTTGTGCGCCCATCTCACTTAAGAGGCCGGGGGCCAGCGCTGTCTGGAGACACCTCTGGGTCACGTGGCCAGCGTGACGAAGGTGCTCTGGCAAACCGGCACCAGTGCAGCACACGGAAACGCCGTTTACCTTCCCGCTATAAAGCGGTACCTACCGTTTTTTTTTGCTCTATAAGACTCACTTTTCTCTCCTAAAAAGTAAAGGGAAATGTGTGTGCGTCTTATGGAGCGAATACAGGCTGTGCAGCTATCCCAGAAGCCAGAACAGCAAGAGGGATTGCTGCTTTCACTGCGCAGCGATCCCTCTTGCTGTTCTGGCTTCTGAGATTCAGAATATTTTTTTTCTTGTTTTCCTCCTCCAAAAACTAGGTGCGTCTTGTGGTCTGGTGCGTCTTATAGAGCGAAAAATACGGTATTTATCTACTTGCACTTAGGGGTGCTTTCGAACTGCTAGGTAGGCAGGAGCTGGGACCAAAAGACAGGAGCTCACCCCGCCGCGGGGATTCAAACCGCCGACCATGCGATCGGCAAGCCCTAGGCGCTGAGGTTTTACCCACAGCGCCACCCGCGTCCCTGCATTCTCTTAGGCATTCCTAATTATTTTCAGTTCTATTAAGGGCCTCCAAAGTCTCTACGGGGCGAAAACTGCCCTGGAAAACATTATGGACAAGACTTCTATGTGACAGAAGTTAAGAGAGTTAACCTTCACTCAGGTGACACTGGTGACTGTATGACACACAGAATGAAGAAGACGGGGAGCTCACCCCGTTGCGAGGATTCGAACCGCCGACCATCTGATTGGCAAGCCCTAGGCTCTGTGGTTTAACCCACAGCCCCACCTAAGCATCTCTAAAATCCTGATCCCCAGCCCCACCCCGCTTGACATATAATTCTTCTTATTCAAAAAGTGAACTCCTATTCACACAACAGCTCTCAAAGTCCTGCCCTAAGTCCTACTCAGAGAAAATCCGCTGAAATTATTGGACCTATGCTAGTCAACTTCAATGGGTCTACTCTGAGCAGGCAGAGGTTTGGTTGCAAACCTTTGTCATTGTCCCAAAACAGGGACAATTTGCAGGACAGGATGACTGCAAGTTCAAATGCTCGATACCAACCACCCACCGAAGAGGTTGCCTCCAGTTAAAGAGAGATCAGAGGCTCCAATTCCTATGTCCATATTCTAAGAAATGGTCAGTGTGCAGCTTCTAAGGCAGAGCTTGAAGGCAAGATGCTGGATAAAATCAGAGAAATCTTAATTTCTTCCCCATTTGCACAAAATATGTAAGAAAATTTCATGGGTTCCTTGAATACCTCTTCTTCTCTCTCAAAATCCAACCAAAACACAGAGTCGTGGTGGTGGTGGCGAGCTAAATTTTTGCCCCTGGCAAAACCTCCAGAGGGGTGCCACTGAGGCTCCCAGCCTCTGTGTGTGTGTGTGTGTACGCAAATGTATGTGGGGTGTGTGCCAAACTGGGTCTTTGACTCGGGTGAAATACAGCCTAGTTTTGCACCTGCAGAACCAAGCCAGAGATTCCCAGTTCTAAAAATAAAGCACAGCTGTTCGTAACACCAGCCCTTGAAAGCCAGCCAAACAAGATCTTGCAGCATTCTTGGAAATCCCTAGAAATTGCCGTTAGGGGTTTTGATACTGCCTCACTCTTTCCACAGTGACCTGGTTTCCTCCCCCTCGGCCCCTCCACCCGCCTGCCAGATAACCACCACTGCTTATGCAATTGTCACAGTAACCCTGTAGGGGAGGTCACTGTAATTTCAGCCTCCCTCCCTTTTATTAAAAGGATGGAGGCTTTCAACTGGCAGAAGGGGCCCCAGGGAAATCTATACATGTTCAGAGTGGAAGAAATGCCTTTCAGCACCAGAGTGGCAATCTCTAGGTTCTGTGCCCACTAGTGCATTAAATTCATGCATGTGTATGTGTAGAGAGAGAGAGTCCAGAGGGTGAGATGTCTTACAAATACATCTACAAATGCTACTAGGACACGTTTTTAACTGGTAAGTTAATAGCAAGAGCTCCCTGCTAGAACCCACTGAAGATCCATCTCTCCCAGTAGCCCACAAACAAGGTTTGAAAAGACAGCATCCCTCTCTTGCCTATTTATCTCCAACAGCAGAGAGGTAGACTGCTTCTGAACATGAAGGTTCCATTTACACCACCCTAGCTACGTGATTAGGCTATCCTCCATGGATTTGTTTGACCCCTTTTAAATACTGTACTGCCTAAGCTAGTTTGTAAGGGATGCGGGTGGTGCTGTGGGTTAAACCACAGAGCCTAGGACTTGCCGATCAGAAGGTCGGCGGTTCGAATCCCCGCGACGGGGTGAGCTCCCGTTGCTCGGTCCCTGCTCCTGCTAACCTAGCAGTTTGAATGCACGTCAAAGTGCAAGTAGATAAATTGGTACCGCTCCGGCGGGAAGGTAAACAGCGTTTCCGTGCGCTGCTCTGGTTCGTGGCTTAGTCATGCTGGCCACATGACCCGGAAGCTGTACGCCGGCTCCCTCGGCCAATAAAGTGAGATGAGCGCCGCAACCCCAGAGTCGGCCACGACTGGACCTAATGGTCAG